AAACAAATTAAAAATACCAGGATACTTCAATACATGTTTGTGTTATTCACCTCTTTAAAGCAAAGGAAAGTTGACAGGCCAAATGAACTAATTTTATTTATCTGATATTTATTTCTTTGTGTATATCTCTATGTCTCCTCTTAACTAAAAGAGGAAGCATCTATCTATCTATCTATCTATCATCTATCTATTTACTTTGATTGTACATACTTTACTATCCTTATCTCTTTTAAAAAAAATTTTTTTTTATTGATTTTTAGAGGGAGCAAAAAGGAGAAGGAGAGAGAGAGACAGAAACATCAATGAGAGAGAACATCGACTGGTCGCCTCTTGCATGCCCCGCACTGGGGATCGGGCCTACAACCTGGGCATGTGCCCTGACTGGGAATCGAACTGGCAACCTCTTGGAGCATGGGTCGATGCTTAACCACTGAGCCACATCAACCAGGCCATCCTTATCTCTTTTTATTATTATTATTATTTTTTTTTATCCTCACCCGAGGACATTTTTTTTCGATATTTTGTTCAGATAGAGTGAGAGGGAGAGAGAGAGAGAGAAACATCGACGTGAAAGTGACACATCGAGTGGTTGCCACCCACATGACCCAACCAGGGCCGGGGACAAACTGCAACCAAGGTACGTGCCCTTAGCGGGAACCGAACCCGGGTCTCTCCGGACCGCAGGCCGACGCTCTAACCGCTGAGCCAAACCGGCCAGGGCCCTTATCTCTTTTTAAACAGACTTTTTAAAAGCAGTTTTAATTTTACAGAAAAATGGAGATTTCTCAAATACCTCCTACCCCCACACATGCACAACCTCCCATTATCAACATACCCACCAGAGTGCACATCTGTTAAAGTAATGAACCTACATGGACACATCACAGTCACCCAAAGGCTGTGGTTTATACTGGGGCTCACTCTTGGTGTTGTGCATTCTATGGGTTTGGATAAATGTATATTGACATGCATTCCATGTATTTACCATCACTGTCTCATACAGAGTATTTCCACTGCTCTAAAAATTCTCTGTGCTCTTTGAACTGTCTCCATAATTCTGCCTTTCTAGACTGTCATACAGTTGGAATCACAGTGTGTAGACTTTTCAAATCTGCTTCTTTCACTTAGTGACATGCAAATTTTCTCCATATCTTTTCATGGCTTGATAGCTCATTCCTGTATAATAGTCCATGGTGTGGATGTACCAGTTTATTTATCTTTTAGCCTACTGAAGGACATCTTGGTGGCTTCCAAGTTTTGTTTTTTTTTATCCTCACCCGAGGATATTTTTCCATTTTTTGTACAGATAGAGTGGGCGGGAGAGAGAGGAAGGGAGAGAGAGAGAGAAACTTCGATGTGAAGGGACACATCGAGTGGCTGCCACCCGCATGACCAACCAGGACCGGGGACAAACTGCAACCGAAGTACGTGCCCTCAGCGGGAACCGAACCTGGGTCTCTCCAGACCACAGGCCGACGCTCTAACCGCTGAGCCAAACTGGCCAGGGCGGTGGCTTCCAAGTTTTGGCAGTTGTAAGTAAAGCTGCTATAAGCATTTGTGTGCACGTGTTTTCACATACCAAGAAGCATGCTTGCTGGATCATATGGTAAGAATGTGTTTAGTTTTGTAAGAAACTGCCAAAGTGTCTCGCCAAGTGGCTGCACCGTTTTGCACTCCCAGCAGCAGCGAGTGCGAGTTCCCGCAGCTCTGCGCCCTCACCAGCACTTGGCATCGGCAGCCTCCCAGAGTCTGGCCATTCTAAGAGGTACGTGATGGCGTCTCGAGGTTTTCATTGGCAATGACCTAATGACATACGATGTTAGACAGCTTTTCATATGCTATTTGTCTATCTTGGTGAGATATACAGGTTTGGGTTATTTTTCACTCGGGTTGTTCATTTTCTTAATATTGAGTTTTATTTTATTTATTTTTGTTAATCTTCACCCAAGGATGGATATTTTTCCCATTAAAGTTTAGAGAGTGTGGAAGGGACAGGATGGGGGAGAGAAAGAGAGAAACATCGATGTTAGAGAAACACATCAATTGGTTGCCTCCCACACTGGCCCTGACCAGGGCCGGGGATCGAACCTGCAACCCAGGTATGTGCCCTTGACCAGGAATCAAACCTGCGACCCTTCAGTGAGCAGGCCACCACTCTTAACCACTGAGCCACACTGGCCAGGCAATATTGAGCTTTAAAGACTTCTTTGTATGTTTTGCACATCAGTTCTCAATCAGATGTCTTTCTTTTGCAAATATTTTCTCCCAGTATGTGGCTTGTCTTCTCATTCTCTCCAGTCTTTCTCAGAAGTTTTTAACTTTAATGGAGCTTAGCTTGCCAATTTCCTTCTCTCACGGATCATTCTTTTGGGGCATTTTAAAGGCATTGCGGTGTGGGGTTCCCAATTCTGCAGCTAAGAGTTTGGAAGTTGCCACTCTGTCTTAACAACATGTAAAAGGCTGAACAGAAAAATCAGCTCTTCCAGGATACCGAAGAGAGGTAAGAAAGCAGGGAAACTACTGTCCCTCAGATCGGAGACTGACAGGCGAACACAGAATATAACAATTTACCGGAGATGCCGCACGCGACCGACACTGCTGTGGGAACCAGGGCGGGGTAGGAAAACAAGACTATCATTCACGAATTGCTGGAGGCTCAAGGTGGATAATCCTGGGAGCTAACAACTCCAGGGGGACCCAGTCATGGGTGGGGGACACGTAATTCTGTGAGATTTATTTCCAGGATCTCTAACAGGTTCCCACAGAAAACAGAACAATCTCCTCGTGCTTCTGGCTCGGAAGGAAGAAGAAACCATTCTGACGCATGCTGGAGCCTCGCTCTTGAACAGTCCTGCCCTCAGGAGGACCAGTAACCAGAGCCCACACCACAGCTGCTGTCGCCAGTCCAGCTCCACTCTGCCGCAGCCGGCTTCCAGCCAGCACAAAGCTCTTTAATCCCCATGATAACTCCAGGAAATAGTTGGGATCAGAGACACAGGACAGGTAAGAGATTCCCACGGCCACACGGCTAGTAAGTGACAGCGCCGGGCTGAGAACGCAGGCGGATGGCCGTGCCGGTGGCCTCAACCCCCACCGGCCGTGGGCAAACTTGTTGCACTAAACAGACTATCCCATCACCTACTTCTCGTTCCACTTCACCTTCTTCCAGGATCGCAACAGCATTTGATTGGTATCACCTTGTACATCTTCCAAATATTCCTGTTAAGTAATTACTTGGCAGACGGTCTTCCTCCTCGGCCGACATGAAAGCAGCGACTTAGAGCCTCCACAGAATTCCTGGGACTTGTGAAGCACTTCAGTGGGGACGGCGTCAGGGTTTCCCGACTCCAGCCCCCCCCTCCCCCCATGCCCCCAGTGGTTCACGCCCCCCCCCCCGCTGCATCACTCTCCTGATCTGTAAGCGGAATCGGGCAAGTCAAGATGAATAGACCTACTTTACAAATCAGTTTTTGGCCAGGAAAAGTATGCCAAGAATCATATTAACAAAATGAAAATGTTACCTATATATTATTGTCTTACTTGAGTCGTTTATTAGCACGATGACAGGTGGGAATTAGTCAAATGAAGATACATACACATCACCCCCTTCCCCTTCTGTTTCTCAGTCCAGGTCTTCAAGGTAGATGCCAACCAGTACACCTGGCAGCTAGGTCCCGTTCCTAATGGGAACAGATGACCTTTATTATTTGTAACGTAGAACCACATGCCCCTCCGTTTGGGGGCCACAGTACTGATGACTCTGAAATCACGAGGAGAAAACTGTGCCAAATGATGAAGGTTTACAAGTGCCAACACCATTCGGTGAGCCACCCCTAACTCGAGACGCTGGGTGATCACCACCAGGCACTCAATGTCGACAGTTCTTCAAAAACAGTTCTTCAAATTTGCCCAGAAAGTACCACCCCTTTGCAGTCATAGGATTTAGTTTTCTAGTAACTTTCTGAAGAAAATAAATCCAATCCGCAAGTGATTTATAACCCCCTACACACACGTCCCAGTCCCTCCGACCCACGTAGTTCTGAACTCGAAGAGCAGGCCTTTGGAATTCTTCCGTATCCGTAACCAAGCCAAGGTGCTGCCATCTCGAGTTGTTTATTTTACATTCCACTTGCTTTTCATGCACAGGTCAGATCATTTCTATTTTCGAACACAGCAGTGACCAAAGCAGAGCACCGTGTCTAACGGCACTTAGAATCGGATCTTCTCACGAGACCCGCTAAGGAACCCCGCGGCAGCGCACCCCGCTTCCCACTCCTGCGTCCACTCGCTCCGTCCGTGGTCAGGCTGTGGAGGCCACGGCAGTCGGTCCACAGTGGAGTGAATTCTGGGACATGAATCATTTCACCACTTTGAGCGCCAGTTTCTTCCTCTGTAAAGTGGGGATTAAAATACCTGTTTTGCAGGGTTGTTGGGAAATGTATACAAAGTACCTGGTTCACATTTGGGCTCAGTAAGAGCTATTGTTATTTGCAGGGTTGTTGGAGCGCTTCCAAGTACTTACTTTATGTCTCCTCGCGACTCTGACAATCCCGCTGGCAAAGAAGTCGGAGAGAAGAGAATTCTAGCTTCCAGTTAGGTGTCTGACGACTCACTAGGCACGGGAACGGGGAGGAGAAAAGGAAACAATGTCCCAGTCCTATATGCCAGGCACTGCTAGGCACTTAATGTCCCTCACCCGAGGCAGCACGGCAGGCGGAGGGCAGGAGACCCCGAGCAGCAGGTAGGGCGGACCCGGGCGCCCTGGTAACTCCTGCGAGGTCGGCCTCGGCCCAGGGCTCAGACCCCTCGGAGAGGAACCTGGGCTCCCCCCGCCACCGCTGAGCCTCGGACCGCGCACGGGGCGCGGAGGCGGGGAAAGGTGCTTCCAGCACAGGGCACGGACAGGCGGGAAGGCTGGGGGTTCTGAGTTCTGGGTCAGCTGGTTAAGGTTGGGCAGGTTGAGGTGAGCACACAGAGCTAACTGCTGTCCACATACAGGATACTTTAAAAATGTTTTTATTGAATATTAAACAATTACAAGTATTGTAAGTTAGACATTTAGCCAAAGCACAATTACAGGTTAAATATAATCGTAAAGATGCCTTAAATAGGAACCTACCGTGCAGGTAGGTCAAGTTCCTCGCTGCCCTCTTTTGGAAAGTAGAGGGTGACAGAGAAAAGGTCTCCCATTCCATGTGAAAGACAGTGAAGACTAGAAGAATTACATGCTGTAAGCCATTTTCCATGACCAGATCGAGAGGGTTGCCAGATTCAGTGAAATAAAATAACACAAAGCAAAAAACCAGGATGCTCAGTTAGGTTTGAATTTCACATAAATAATTAAGAATTTTTTAATTGTAAATATATGGCAAATAATGCACGAAACACAGTTAAGCTAAAAAATTTACCTGAAATTCAAATTTAACTGGGTGTCTTGCACTCTATCTGGCAATCCTACAAATAGACGAATGCAGAAAAGAAAGGGGGAGGGGACTGAACCCCGCCACTGGTGAGTCATACAGACTGAAACAAAAACACCAGCAATGAGCCAGAGGCACTACATGGTTACCACATGGACCACAACACAGTGAGATAATACAAGCACTACGCCAAACGCTGTTGCCAGGAAACATTCTAGATGTCCCCCAGGCTGGTTTTGTAAATGTTTTTGAGAAAACTTGCTGATAAAAGTACCTTTTAGTCTGTAGGTATCAAAGACAAACACTACTATCACAAAGACAGGATAGGATGAACTTGAAACAATGGAAGCAGAAGCAGGCATTGTATATGCACATGAAGAGTTTAAATATTTTGTGTAATGAATACAAGGGTTATATAGTCAAGGTCATCTTCTAGGTCTAGGCTCTCAGCCTCGAAGATTTTGGTTCCTTTCTCATTTTTACTGTTGTGTTTTCTAGCTCATTTATCCTGAATCTTGGGAGGGACACAGGAGTGTGTAAGGGACACCCCATTATCAGAGTGTAACCACTTCTCAGCAAACACTTTCAGGGTTGTCTGCAGAAATGGGCAAAAAAAAAAAAAAGTAGCAAAACAATGTGGATTCTAGAGGAGACACCTGTGAAACCTGGGTGGCAGGGAGGGTGCGGAGATGAGTGTGAAACAGAAAAGGAAATGTGAGAATGAAGATCCCAAATGCAGTCAACTCTCCAGTGAGTGTCATTTCAGAGGCGGCAGAACCCCCGCAGATGTACAGACCTGTCACATCATGAGCACGTTTGGTTTTAGAAAGTATAGAAAATCTTCAGCTTCCTACTGCTTTTCACTTATCACCATGGTTTGTATTTTAAAATGATTAAAAAACAGCTTGTGCAACAGTCAAATTCTACAGGGTATGGCTTTGAAACCTTTCTTGCATTTCTGCAAACCAGGTGACTGGTAGCTGGGGAGTTTCAGACAGAAACGGAACTGGGCTGATTCTATCAGCTCCTCTGCACGTAAGGGGCCTACTTACGAATAACACCCTCATGGAATCAGCACAACAGGTGTGAAATACATGACACACCCGGCTCACCAACACCTTTCAGACACTAAGAAATGGAATTGCAACTTTTTATTAGGACATCAAAGGTTTAAAAGTTTCTGCCATAGTTAAGGCTTTCTTAAGAAGAATATTTGTCTATTAATTTCAAAATCCAGTGTCTGAAGAAGCCTCACTTTTAAGGGTGGTTTTAAAGAAATGCATTTCCTTGTCATATGCTAGATGTGTCCAACGGAAGCGCAAACATTATCTTCACAATTACTTTCTTTTTATTCCTCTGTCACTGATTTGACATCAAACAAGGTTAGTTTTAGTCTTGAAATACATTTGACACATGAAACCCTATATTAATGTCAGTGTTTAGTGTTCTCTGAATGACTGAAATCCTTTTCACTATGCAAGATAACAAACAGCTCAAAAGAAAATGGTCACACCATGGGCATTTTTGGTAAGAAGGCTGTTCTCACAGATTATCATACAAATGGGATCGGGACACACTGGGGAAAAGGTGCTTTGAAACACACACTTTCCTGTTTCAGAGACGGTCACAGAAATCCAGGGCGCATCCGGGAGATGTAGCGAAACGGAAAAACCTAGACAGCTCACTGCATTCTGGCGCTGTTCTTCCAGACACCCACGTTTCTGTTTAAGGCTATAATAGAATATTCACCTAGATTACTTCGCTTGCCCCGACCAGGATTTCTCTGTAGGTATCAGTGCGCTGCGCTATTCTGAGAGCAAAGGGAAACTGGTCGGCCACTGACATCAATCTCAAATGAAGACAGAATGCTGTTCCATGAAAACGTCCTAGTATTGTTTATTCTACTTGTGTTACTGAAAAAGGAAAAGGTGGATGAAGTCCTGGTTATATTGCTACTATTTTGCATAGAATGAAAACTCTGGGTTCCATGCTGTTGTTTGTCAGTCAAGTGGCAACTCTCCTGAGCAGAGCACGTGAGGCCTAACACCTGGTTCTGGTTGTGACGTGGAAACAGAGAAGTACAGTCTTTTGCAAGACCCAAAATGAAGAAAGGAGGAAAATGAGTGGGGTCAAAGGTAACTGTTGGAGCTAATTATAATTCCAGACTAGCAACCTGGGGGAAAGGCAGGAGGCCAAGCGGAAGGAGAGCGTCCAGTCCAGAGCACGCAACTCAGGCCGGACCCACGGAGCCCATCCCAGTCCGCTGGGACCGTCGTCGGGGAGCCCCCTGATGCGAGCGCTTGGGTCGGGCTGCCGCGGGCTCGATCCTCCCTCTCGCTCAGCCTGGGGAACAGAGGCCAGCGCAGGCGAGGCCATGTCACTAGTCCTCGACTTGCCAGTGTCTGTATGGACATACGTAAGGACGGAAATGGACTTCGGCCTAAGTCGATGGTGTGCTTTACATCCCAAAGGGTTTTCACACTGCTGAGGTCGGAAATTCCAAATGTAATCGACTTTTGCTATTTTGAGTGCATTCATGATGACCTTTGGTTTTCAAGTTTTGAAAACACGTATTTGGTTCCTATGAGATATCAATGAACCCATTCTCTTTAGCAGATGAGTAATATGTACACATTCTTCCAAGGACTACTATATACTTGACTCATTACAAGACGAAGCACTGCAAATGTCTTCCTTACACGGTACCTTTACTCGGCACACAGAACACACGATACACAACATGGGCAGATTAAATACTGAACCACAGTTCAACTTCTCAAGTGTAAGGCTGAAGTTTAAAACGGGCACACCCGTAATCCAGTTAGCATGATGGGAACGCCAGAGAACCAGTCGGGTAGTGGCTTATGTTTTCAAAAAAGCTATAAAGCTTTCGGTATCTATATCGTATTAACCCTTTTACTTAACTAAAAATCACAGCTGTGTTTACCATTTTAAACTATATCTAAGTGGGGAGGTAAGTAAGATACACTTTCACAGCTACTGAAAACTACACAGATGCCAATTCCTTCGACCCCTTGTCACACAGCAAAAAGGAAAGGAGGAAACAGGCCCTCTTCACAAAGATCCAACTTCAAAGCTCCACATGGAATTCTAGTGCTATGAAACACGCAGACGGGACACGGACACCCAGCGTGGGCCACTAAACGTCAACTGAAGCAAAAATGGAGGCTAATTCTTGATTCAATTTGGAGGACCCATGCAAGATTCAGCTATAAAACTCAAACTAGTTCCCAGTTCCTAGTTCTAGCAATGGTCTCAAGCCAGAAAGAAAGCAAAATGTGTATTTTAAGAGCCTATTCTAGAATTTTTGCATGTAACTATTTTTCTTTAGGTGATCAAAGAAGGTCATAGCTTAATCAGCGTGTACTAAAAAACAAATTAGTTTTCAGGGCTTTAAATTGAAATGGCAAGTTCGTATCATACTGTTTCCCCCTTTTTCCCACCACATACTCCTTTTGCTTCAAAGCTGAGTAGGTGCGCAGCATGTCCAAGTAAAATCAATGCACTCAAGTCGATATCCAGTTAAGGTGAGAAGGGCAAGCGTAAGAACTATAATGGATAGTTTTCTACAAGTGTCTATGTGCACTTGGCAAATGTTGATTAAAACAAGCAAAACGAAGTACTAATTTCATGAAGTAACAGTGTGGTACTTCTCCACCTTCATTAAAAAAATAACTAAAAGAGCTTTGGTTTCAAGTGTTTGTTCTCCTTGTCTATTAAGATGTTTGAAGGAATCATTCAAAAATTTAGTGCAAGGACCTATCTAAACTGTTTGAAGCACCTCACTCAAAATAAACCCCAAATCTGCAGTAAACAAAACAGTTCTTGCATTTGTGCCTATCTATATGCTAAATAGGAGTTAAATCCTAGTTTCCCAACCTAGAGAAACAATAAAGTAACATTTTTGTGACTCCCATGAAGTACAATAATTTGAATTTGGAAATAAGGCAGCTGATTTTGGGGGCGACAACTCTGGTGGTGCGGGTTGAATGAGGGCGTTCCTTGGCAGAGCCCCGAGGTCCTTTCTGCTGCAGCAGCCGGAACCACATGCTCCTCGCACAGGAAGTGGCTCGTCCTCAGCTGTCCCAGGGGTCTCCCCTCCAGGCTCGATGGCAGCGTGCCCACACCACTCCCTGGCTGCGCGCTCCTGGCTCCGCGCTGTCCTGACCGCCTTGGACGCAGGCTTGTACCGGAGAGCGAGTGGCCCACACCAGCTCTGCCCCTGAACCTGGGAGCTCCGAGTCGGCTGATGTTTGTGCCTTTCCCTTGTAAGACTGGCCAACTGATAGGACTAAACACTGATGTTTTTCCTTTCCACCTCAAGTTATGTTTATAATAAGTACACATATAAAATAAATCAAAGTGAAAAAATAGTGGAAACTAGTCTTGCTCGGCCAGAAGCTTGGGTTGCATTGCTAATGATTTTAGTCAGTGTGACTTTGTGCAAAACATCCTCAAGAAGGTTCCGGCTCATTATCAATGTAAGCAAAAAAAAAAAAAAAAGCCAACGACATGTTTAAAAAACCTAAAAACGAGCCTGGGTATGCGCACCTGTTATATACACGTGCCAGGTATAACAAAGCAAATGTAGTGTGTGAACTGTGAACATTTGAGAACATACTGGTTATGTTTTCTTTTTTTTTCCATTTCCAAGTCTAGATCAAAGCAATCTTATTTTAGAAATGGAAAACTGCAATGAAAGTGAGCCTGAGATTTATTAAAAGGCCGCCCCTGTAAACATTTCCTCAAAGGGAACAGCAGCAGTTGAGCATGTATCAGTTACTCATACGATACTCATCACTAGAGCAATGCTTCAGAAAGACAAACAGCTTATTCTAGGCTGTCAGGGATTTATAGAATATTGGTTTTGCAGGAGACAGTCCGTGATAGTCCAGTCCCCGGTTTAATCCGATCGGGCCTTTACCGGTGGGCATTCACTAGGTTTTCTGCTCTGCGGCTGTTGCCGTCTGTGAAGGAGCTTCCGGCTTCATGATCTGGTATGTGATGAGATACTCTGGGTAGGCCTGGGAAGGACAGGAGAAAAACACGTCACCCTTTTGGCAGCTACAGTATTAAAGCCTTATTTACTGAAGTCTCAGAGGTTGTCCTCTCTTGGGTTTCATTTACTCTGGAAAGTTCTCCAAGTTTTTTTTGTCTTTATAACACTGACATTTTGAAGAATCCAGTCTTGCCAGATGTTTTATTACCAGAATATCCCTCATTTTGATTACACCGAGGTTATGCACTTTTGGCTGGAATACTGCACGGATGATGTGCCTGTCTCGAGATGTCACCCCTGGAGGCGCACTCGATGTCTATCTGTCCCTCATTGACAGTGTTCATTCTGATCATCTGATCAGGTATTGCCCCCCCCTTCTCCAAGGCATAATTACTGTGATTTGTTTCTCTTTTCTAACTAGTAAGCAGACCAAGTAAATATCCTTCTCCTTGTCAAAATTATCCCCTAGATTTAGCATCTGTTGAGGATTCCTGCCTCATCTAATTTTTACCACAATGGATGCAAGATGATTATGCAAATCTAGTATTCCCTCCATATCCACTTATCTGCCCTTGGCTTTCTATTGTAAGCAAAAGCCTTCCTTTCCTCTTCACTTATTTATCTATTTGTTATCAGTCCAGAATTATGAATTTCCATTTTTTCCAATGGTTTAAAATTTATTACTGTGCTTATAGGTTCACATTGTCCCAGATTTAGCCAGTGGATCCCTTCACGCTGGCTCAGGGTCCTTGTGGCAAGCCCCCATCTCTTTTTTTGCACTTCATCATCTTCTGGAATTCCAGATCGTCCAGGCTCATCTTGTTCCTATTCTGCTCCAGCCCTGAAATCAGCTGATTTTCCAAAGAGCTAGGGATCCTTTCAGCGGGGAATGGTATCAGGGACCAAGATCTGGGCTCCAAGTGTATGTGCTCACTGCTACTGGGATTCTTCGCTCTCAGCGGACAAATGCATGCACATATGCACTCATACACATAACATGCTCACATCACTCTCACACAGAAACCTACGCATGCACATATGCACTCATACACATAACATGCTCACATCACTCTCACACAGAAACCTACGCATGCACATATGCACTCATACACATAACATGCTCACATCACTCTCACACAGAAACCTACTCATGCACATATGCACTCATACACATAACATGCTCACATCACTCTCACATAGAAACCTACGCATGCACATATGCACTCATACACATAACATGCTCACATCACTCTCACACAGAAACCTACTCATGCACATATGCACTCATACACATAACATGCTCACATCACTCTCACATAGAAACCTACGCATGCACATATGCACTCATACACATAACATGCTCACATCACTCTCACACAGAAACCTACTCATGCACATATGCACTCATACACATAACATGCTCACATCACTCTCACATAGAAACCTACGCATGCACATATGCACTCATACACATAACATGCTCACATCACTCTCACACAGAAACCTACACATACACATACTGACGTGTGAACATACATAACGTAAGAAACCATGAGTTCATATCGACACCTCCACTTTCAGCCCATGCCTACAGTGCCGTTCTTGCCTTCCCTCATTCCATATCGGTATGTCCCTTCCTCGACAGCTCCAGCTCCAGCTCCCCAAATCAACACTTCTACTCACTTGCTAAATCCTATGATCCACCTAACAGAGGTTCGCTGCTTGCCCATGCCACCACAATCAACAGGCCTGCTGAACAGAGCTCAGGGCTTGCTTGCAGCTCTTCCCCCACACTACACCCCACCACGCCCCACCACGCCCCACCTGGCCAAAGACTGAGGGCACATAATAAAATAGTGTTCTTATAGATTATTTGTATTTAGTTCATTTCTTCTTTCTCCCTTTTTCCCCTCTTCTTCATCAGTGAAGCCAAGTAGCCATTTGAAATTCGATTACGTTCAGATAACCTGAGTTTTAGAGGCTGGTGGGCATTAAGCAGCACGGTGCAAGTGAAGGCCTGCATTGAAAATGACAGTTTTCCTGCTTGCTGACAATTTTATGTTGGAGCCCCAAGCAGATGGCAGAGCTTAATGTACTGCAGCTTTATGACTTTGAAAGCTACTGTTCTATGTAAGTACCGTGATCAGAGGTACAGATGGTCCCTCATTGATCAATTTTGACTTTACAGTGGTGCAAAAGTGACAGGCATCGGTAGAAACTCTACTTCAAATTTTGACCTTTTCCCAGGTGAGTGATACGCGGTCACACTCTGGCGATGCTGGGCCCTGGCCCGAGCCACACTGCCGGGCGCCCTTGCGACCGCGAGAGGAACTGCCCGTGCCCCTGGCACACGGTGTTGCCGGTGTTTTCTCACCCATCACGTCTGCAAAACACCCATCTGTGTGCTGTGTACGTTAATGGTGAAACATTGGTGTAAACACTGTTATTCACTTTCAGTATAATGTTCAATAAATTACAGGAGATCTTCGATACTTTAACATAAAATAGGCTTTGTCTTAATTTTGCCCATCTGCTAGCTAGCGCAAGTATTATGAGCACATTTAAGATAGGGCGGGCTAAGCTATGGTGTTCAGTAGGTGAGGAGTATTATATGCATTTTAGACTTATGATATTTTCAACTTATGATGGATTTACTGGGATGTGACCCATCATAAGTCGCAGAGTATGTGCACAGAGATTCGAGCCACGTGACCGGCCTGCAGCAAGCCCGCCCACGGAGAAGGTGCACCGGCAGCGCTGCCCTGAGCCCACTGCCAGTCAGGGCACGGAGGGTGCAGAGCACAGACAGAGCAGCAGGCCTCGCGAACAGCCCCCCCTTCACACTGTTACTCGGCTGACAGGTAAATGGCTTGTGTGCAAAGTTGATGTTGAAGAATTTTGATATCTTCATTTTGACCGGAAGCAACTAACGCTATCAGATCATGTGGTAGGTATTTTATTAAGTGGCTTTCTTTTTGGTAATCCTCACCTGAGAATTTTTTCCACTGATTTTTAGAGAATGGAAGGAAGGAAGGGACAGAGGAGAGAGAGGAACACTGATGAGAGAGACACACTGACTGGTTGCCTTCCGCACACACCCTGATCCGGGCCAGGGACTGCAACTCAGGTACGAGCCCTTGACCAGAAATCGAACTCACAACCCTGCCGTGCTCGGGCTGATGCTCTAACCACTGAGCAACACTGGCCAGTCCTTGAATGGTTTTCCTGAACTCTTATGTGGTCTCCACATTCTGTATTGTTACGTTTAGTAACTTTGTATGCTTATCTGATGATGTGACACACCTGTTCTCCTCTGTAGATAACATATTCGGCGTATGCCAGCCCGTTCACACTTGGTCTCCCAATAACTGAGTGATGTCCTGGCGGTGCATGAGCCATTTTCATGGTGCTGAATTGCAGAAAGGATTTTCCAAGGGTCACTCGACAGAAAAGCATTTGCCTAAAAAAAAGAGAAAAACAGTGCCTTGAAGGAAGCTTTAAGTCATGAAATACTTGTTAGGTTTATTGACTGAAAAAAATTTAACACAAGCAAGCTAATTTAAACGCCCCTTTCATATTTATGAGTAGAAATGGGATGAGATTTGATACACTGATTTACCATAAACAGTGGGCTCAATAGTTACCCTTGAAGTTTAAAGTAGTTTTGGTGTGGTTTAGATATCAACCACGAAAAATCCCTGGCATGTTCTGACTAGTGGAAAAAGAAAAATACTACTGAAAACTGAGTTCTTGTATGAGAGGATAGGAATAAAGTAAAGAAAGTCAGCAAATGGCAGCAGCATCTGAAATGAAGATTTGGTTTTACTCATTATGAAGAAGTAAACACTGGAATGACATAAATAACAGTAAGAGTGGATTATATATAACAAACACTTGCTTAAACATAAGCTGACAATTACACTCCCTGGGTGAAACATGAATTGGGGGGCAGGTGTTAAACAGCACAGAGGAGAAAAAAGGTTGCTGGGGAAGAAAGCGTGTTAAATAAACTAGGGGTTGGCAAACTATAGCCCCTGGGGCAAATCTAGTCTGTTTTTGTAAATAAAATTTTATTGGAGCACAGCCATACACTTATTTCTATATTGTCTGTGGCTGCTTTTACACTATCAGGGCCAAAAATTATTTATTATGTGGCCCTTTAAAGTTGGCCAACACTTAATATAAACAATAAACATTTAAACTAAACAGTAAGATCGGTCACATTGTTAAATGTAAATAGTTGTCATTCAAATAGTTTGTTTTTAGTAATGGAGTATGATCTTTGCAATATGACTAATCAGAGATATTATTTTCAGTCAATTAAAAATTGTGGCATGCCCAGCATCACTGGGTCCTTCCCGGGCTGGCTATGTAGCGTGATGCTATTGATGACCTTCTGGGATGCTGGCTTGGGTGCAACTGCATTCTCTCTCAGACCCAGAGGAAAGGGCTTTGGTCAACACAAGAGGGAGGCTTTCTGAGCTCCATCCCCACATTGTGCCAGCACTACGGTATCTCTGGACTCTGTCCGCTTGGCCGGCTGGGCCCACTGCCACGTCCACTCCCTGTCCATATGTCACACAAAGCTTGACCCACAGGCCTTGCCTGCTACCTTCAGCTTCCTGCCCCAAGGCTTCACTATTGCTGTGGAGGTGGCAGCAGCAGCAGGACCTTCCCGGCAGCCCATGAGGCTGCAGGGTGAGTGTGCAGGTGGAGTACTGGGTACAGCCTGCTCACCAGCTTGCCTTGTGCATTGCTGTCATTCTGCAGGTGCAGCAACCCAAAACGAGTGGGAGGTACCAATGGCCTGTGGGGCAAATGTTGACCAGTGCACGGCAGGAGCCAGCAGATAACCAAATGCACTTGTCCAGAAACCAGCCAGCTATGGAGAAACCTGTGTCTTCTGCCTCCTCTTCGACCTCACTTCTTTTTGTGCCCTCATTCCTGCTTCTGGGATTGCATTTGCCAAGAAAGTACTAGTATATAAGCTTTTGCTTCAGGCTCTGTTTTCTAGGGAATCCTGGCTAAGACATAAATTTGTTTCTAATTTTAGACTGTTCATCCTCATCTAAGTTCACTTTTATTGCTTATTTTGGTTCATTTTGTTTCTAGAGGAGTTAGGTTTGAAGCAACAAAGAGAAACTTTTGTATGCTACATAGTCTTGGGAAATTTTGTATGTTACTAATTACAGCAGAATTAATGACAAGAAATTTCCTTCTGGACATATGGCATCATCTTAGAACTGCTGACAGCTACAGTTTGTTTCAATGTAACTGAGAGTGGTTAAGTTTTAAGGTCAACAATTATAATGAATTTTAATGTTTTATAGGTCTTTTTGAGGTTTTAAGTGAATTACAAGATTTCTTATTAACACAATTATGCAAAAAGAATGTATCTGGTTAATTTAAAGAGAAATGAAATAAACTGCAATCTCTGTCAATTACAATTCTTCGTATTTTTTTCTATTGGCAGGGAAAGGAATTTTTTTTCACTGACTTCAGAGAGAGTATATTATTATTCTTTCCAATTTTTGAGTTTTAAAACCCTATTTAAAAGCTAATATTCATTTATTTAATAATTCCAAAGTTCATATTCGGGAGTTGGACTTTTTAAGGCCAATTATATATCCTGCCTTAAAACATCACTAGCAATTTCAGAAGCACATTAAAAATTCTACTTGTTCATAGAGGTTGCGACTTAGTTCCAATGTGACTCTAGTCAGAGCTAGAAGTTCTTTGTTTTAAAGAAATAATTCTGACCCTCTTCCTGTTCTGATTCTGAAGCAACAAAAGTGAAGCCCAGGGAAAAAGCCAAGATGGAGGGAGTTTCATTGTAATCTATGATTGGTTGACATAGATCTGTGTTTTTTAAAAGAATATTTTTATTGACTTTTATAGGGAAAGAGGAAGGCAGAGGGAGGTGGAGAAACATCGACTGGCTGCCTCCTGCATGCTCCCTACCAGGGACTGAGCCTAAAACAAGGGCATGTGCCCTGACCAGGAATCGAATCAGCAATAATCTCTGTGCCTGGGACAATGCCCCGCCAACTGAGCCATACCGGTCAGGGCTATATCTGGGTTGTTATCACCACTGATATCTGCCTTGTTATGACTGCTTCTATTAGGGCAGAGGCTGATCAACTATTCCTGCCCAATTCCCAACCTGTCTGATTCATTAGGATTAAGACTAAGGATAACTTGTGACTTCTGCATAGCCTGAGAAACAAATCTGGTTCATGACCTGAAAATAGCAACCATGACACAAAAGCCAAGACGCTCACCTGTGACATATATAACATGACCGATCTTTGTGCGTGGGGCAGCCTGTTCCTCCTCCAATACCATATACATACTGGTTGCTTTTAGAGGAGTTTTCAGCAAAATAAATCCCAGCCCCAAACATTCCTCCTATGTATGCATGTCGCTCATCAAACCCTTTATGAATGATGGCATTAATGAAAGGAGAACCTAAAAATATAGACAGAAGAATTAATTTTTGAACACGGTCCTGGAATATCAATTAGCTACACACTATTTGCACTTGGAAGATTGATATTAAATAATTAATAATATATAACTGAAAAGTTTATTTTGTAAGATGTTTATTATACGTAAATTATCACGTACTAGAATCTCATCAAAGACGCATAATGTTCGCCAAGCAAAGACGTTATTTTGCAGACGGTATGAGATTTTAGATAGCAAAATACAATGTGACCTTGGAAATATAGATTATTTTATACCCAATCTTACATTAAGCAAACACAGATAATCTGATAAACTAAAACAATTATGCTAAACTACAATAAAAAATATTTCATTCTCTAGATGGCTCAACATGCAATTTATGTTCTGAAACAATTTCAGATCATGTTTTCAGTACATGCCTTAAACAGCCCTACAAGAATGTAATGCATTAGAAAGCTGGTGTCATAATGTAATTATTTGGGGAAAAAATCAAAACGAATCATTACAAACATAGTCAACAACACAGGCTTTTCATTTGGCTGGGGTCTGTGAAAGCCCGAGGGATTCTGTGATGACCGTGGGGACACTCACCGTGAAACAACATGCGCTCGTTGTGATGGTTGTGATTCTCTTCAGACACTTCCTTTTGTCTGTGACAGAATCGTTCCCTCAACTTCTTGTTGACAACTTTCTGAATCTTTAAGGATGAGGAAAAAAGAAGCAACTGAGTGTAATGTATGTTAACTGGTAGTTTATGATTTAAAATGAAAAAGTATGTTTTCCTAGAGGAAGGTCCAATTTTTGTTTTGTTTGCTTAAAACATTATTTAAAAATGATAAGTTGCCAGGTAATTCAGTTAATATTCTGGCTTTCAATGATAGTTTTCAGGGGTGGTTTTTGTTTGTTTTTCTGCACTAGACCTGGTTATACTTCAGAGTTAGTTATGGGGTGGGAGGGTGGGAGATGGGGAGGAGTCTAGGTTGTTATTCCTAGATTCCTCCCCAGACTTATTGAATTTTAGGAAATATGAGCCTATAAATCTGTATTTGCAAAAAGCTCTCTGGGTAATTCCGATGAGCACTGGTATAATTTTCAGAGGTCTATTAATCCAAAGAATTAAATCTTTTCTCGAGAGACTTTATTCATCTTCATGATATCCCTTTGAAAAAAAGCATATAGTGGTCCTCTATTCCATATATTAATTAAGACGCTGAGGTGAAGAGACATATGCATTCCGATATAATCACTGATTCAATTAGATTGAAAAAAGCCAGGCCTTTAATGCTACCTTGAAACGGTGACAACAAAATTCATTGTCAGCTGTGGTCTGAATTTACAGCTGAGTAGGGAGTCTCATCACCACATCTGCATCACAAATACCAGCTGGTCTAGCCTTCGCTGTGTAGCTTTGGAGTTTCTGCATCACAAATACCAGCTGGTCTAGCCTTCGCTGTGTAGCTTTGGCTTTCCTGGATATCTCCACAATAAAAACCTTGACTTTGAAGACCTTAATTTAGTGGACTTTGGATTTCAAGGGCAAAATTTCTGGTTTGTATGTCATATGTGAAAATTAATAACTTGTTAATTTTAAAATGCTTTTAAAAAATGTTTTTATTGATTTTTTTTAGAGAAAGAGGAAGGGAAAGAGAGAGAGAAACGATGTGAGAGAGACACATCTATGGGCTGCCTCCTGCATGCTCCCTACTAGGGATGAGGTCTGCAACCCGGCATATGCCCTGACTGGGAATCAAACCCAGAAGACATTCAATCCACTGAGCAACACCATCTGGGCTAAATGCTTTTAACCAAGAGTTGCTTGTAATTAAATTAACAGATTATTTTTTGTTAATTCACTGTTATTTTAAACAAATTATAGCGAATAGGACATATGTTGGAAAAAACACTATAGTAATTTCGCCGACATAAATAAATACTACATATCTACAGGTATAGTCCACATATTTACATCCAAGAGTCACTGCTCATATATAATGTTCGGCAAATAATTAGCATGTGATCACACCGCATCAAGTGTGATAACTGGTTCTGTTGTCACATGGTGTGACTTTCTGCAGCAGTTTTAACCGTGCTGGCCGAAGTTCCCATGTGCTAAGCCACGTCCCAGCCATGTGCATCTGTTTACTCTCGGTGACTGGTGAATGCATGCATCCACTAGACCTATTCATTATAAATTTAAAATTACAGTAATACATATAAAAAACTTTTCTGTAAAATTAAACTTTTCATACATATTTAATTTTAATTACACAAACATGTCTACATAAGTAAAAACAAGTAAACTAACTAATTTGTCAACTTTTTAACATACGAATTCAGAAAGTCCATTATTTTATTTTATTTTATTTTTTCCTCACCCGAGGACATTTTTCCATTTTTTGTTCAGGTAGAGTGGGAGGGAGAGAGAGGAACAGAGAGAGAGAGAGAAACATCGATGTGAAAGGAACACATCGAGTGGCTGCCACCTGCACGACCGACCAGGGCCGGGGACAAACTGCAACCGAGGTACATGCCCTTAGCGGGAACCGAACCCGGGTCTCTCTGGACCGCAGGCCAACGCTCTAACCGCTGAGCCAAACCGGCCAGGGCAGAAAGTCCATTATTACATAATCGACTTTGGGCTTTACTGGATACCCCCTTGCCCAAATTAGTCCGTTACATCGAGGTTTTACTGCCCTTCTAGTGAAGTACGATCCTGAGGGGTGACAGACTGCACTGCAGTAAGGAGGGTGACACCTGACTGCAGGGCAGCAGGTGAATGAGCATCCTTGAGTTGAAAATATGACTTTAAGAAACAATTTTAATCACTGTCTATATTTGATTTTTAGGAAGCCGTGCAATTCAATTTTCACCCTGAAGTTTTAAAAACTTACTCGAATGACATTGTATCTGTTGAAGATGCCGCCGGCATTACCACCATCTCTGTGTTCTCGAATTGTACTTTGCATCTACAGAATAAAATAAAATAACTAAATTTCTGAAAAAGTGCCAATGAATATATTCTAAAGACACTCCTTCCATTGTTTTCAACATTTTAATTCTATTACATTGCTTCACTGATGAGTCTAAGATTTAGCACATATAAATAAACATGAGTCCACTATAAATTGATTAACATGTTTAGTAGATAAGTATTTCTGATCAGAAAACAGTCATAAATATAAATGTTAAACATCTATATTTTCTTTTTATTTTCTAATAAAAACTTTGAAAGATTTTTCTGTAAACACAGTGGGGAAACAAAATATCACATGAAGTCATCTACATTACTATTTTCTGTTATTGAGAAAGAAGCAACATTGTGACTAAGTCAAATCAAAACTCCTCATATTCAATTAATACCCCACTGGATATAGAAATGCTAAAAATAAACAAAGAATTTAAAAAAATCAATACATTTTTGTTCTCTAGGTGAAATATTCCTTATTATCTCTTTTATTTGGGATCTCCAAGTATATCTACAAAGACCAGGGGAAGTTGAATATCATGTATAACTAAGTGGAATAACTTTCTTTTGAATAACTACTCATTCTCTTCTACTTTGCAAATTAAAAAAAACTATTATGGAAAAGTAAAATGCTCTGAAGATTTAAGTTTCTCATAGAATTGACCCAAAGAGTTAATTTTCTAATTCACCACATTTTGACATTATTATCAGAATGTATTAACTACCAGGAAATAAGATACTAGAAGACATGATGCTTTCCTGAAAAACTGGCTAAGTACAGGCTGAAATACTATCCTAAGGTAATTGTCTTGAGCTTCCAGAATGAGAATATGAGCACTAACTAATTAAAAAGTAGAAAACAAACTAAAATGTAGGCATGCCTTTCTATGCAACATAACACCCTTAGGCACTATGATTATTATGTGTCAGAAGTGAGGCAGAAGCCACAGTAGAGAGGGAGTCTCTACGGCACCTGTCCACCAGAGGGTTCATACAAATCACTTTCCTATGTTGCTTTAAAATCACTGTGACTGGAGAAATGAAAGGGGACTCAAGTCATGAGACATACTTTCTAAGCATGTATAAAAATTAGGCATATCATTTTATAATCATGTTTTATAATGCCGCACAAAAATCAAGATGAGAATATATTTGCTATCTATGAGGCAAGATTCTCACTCCGTCTTTCTTAGGTAGCATTTTTTAGCAACATAAAAAAATAGTTCTAATAGGGTCTTTACTTGCATGAGTTTCAAGAAAGTCTCTAGAATAAAGAGAGATCTGAACCACCCATTGAAAACCCTAGGCTTACAGGGTGAAAGCCATGTGGCATAGTTCTAATCCATAGCCCTATTCTAATTTTGGCAATATTTCACCACAATGGCTAAGGGAGATAGTTTAACCACAGATTTCAGGAAAAGATAAATAAAAGTTTGATATACATTACCTCTTCTTCTACTGACTGATATTCCTTATCCTCTGGAGCAAGATCCAGTAAAATAGTTCCCTGATTAACACAGTGAAAAGTCAAATAAGGGTTGGTGCCTATAGGAAAGAAAAATTAACCTAGTTAAAAGAAGTCCACACTATTCAGGCTCTATTTTAGAAAAAACTTTGTCATAAATAATTGATATTTTGGAAGAAGTCTAAACTATTTGCAATTTGAACCTAATTTATATGGTTATATAAACAAGTACATCCAAAGACATGTGAAGTAATGGAGATGTGTTTGGGATCAATTTTATCTGTTCTTTTTTGTTTTATCCTCACCTGAGGACATTTTTCCATTTTTTGTTCAGGTAGAGTGGGAGAGAGAGGGTGAGGGAGAGAGAGAGAGAGAGAGAGAGCGAGAGAGAGAGAGAGGGAGAAACATCGACGTGAAAGGGATACATCGAGACACATCGAGTGGCTGTCACCCGCACAACCCAACCAGGGAAGGGGACAAACTGCAGCTGAGGTACGTGCCCTTAGTGGGAACCGAACCCGGGTCTCTCTGGACCGCACGCCGATGCTCTAACTGCTGAGCCAAAGTGGCCAGGGCAATTTTATCTGTTCTTAAATAGTCCCCCGTACACACAGCAGGGCTCAACTATTACTTGTCGAACTAAATTTAATCATGAACTTTCAGGAAGTTATGCTTGATACAAAAGAGAAACACACTGTAATTATAATGTAGTCAGGTCTAAAATATAAGAATTATCCTCTAAGAACTCTGTGAGATAGCCTGAAATGGTGACTTATAAGTTTAAAACACATAATTCTTGTTCATTTAATACAGATAAGTAAGACTCAAGCTCAAAACTGCTAACGTTTAGTTTCATGTCACTCTTGCAATTTTCTTAGCTCTGCAGACTGACTAGTTCAAGTTGTTTCTTTTCTCTCCTCTTGCTTTCCTACAGTGAAAGCACTTCTAACAAACAGAAATTATACACATGGAGGCATACAAAGGAGAAAGACAGGAGGCTTGTAACAGCAAAGTATGATGGCAAAAGACTAAGCTGACAGATGTAAGAGAGGGAGAAAGGTTCAAGATGAGGTAAGAGAGTAAGGTCAGGTTATTGTCACTGTCTGGTTTTATCCTAAAAGCAACAGGATTCTATTGAAGAGTTTTAAGCAATGAAATGATATGATCTCATAGTCATGTTGAAAGAAGTCTTCCGGTTGCATTGCAAGGAAGGTACTGGAAGGGAGGCAAAGGTGAAGGTCGAAGATAAGCTGGAAGGTGGCTGTGACATTCCAGGAAACAGATGACGCTGACTTGGATTAGGTGATAGCAATGGAAAAGGACAGAAGTATAGATAGTACAGATTCCAGAGATATTTAAAGACATAAAGTGTGGGGAGAGAGAGAACAATGACTCACCTCCGGCTAGATTGGAGGGGGAGTGATGCCATTGCGGGGGATGGGGGAGGCAGGAGGCGCTACACCAGCCGAGCACATGAGCTCTGGGGTCAGACCACCTGAGTTCAGATGCCAGCCAGGATGCTTATCTTGTACCACTAATATCTGAAATTTATTTTTTCTGAACAGGTTACCTTGTTGTCCACCTAAGAGTCTTTCTACTCCTTTGATTAGTTTATGGCGGTGTCCATATGCATTGATGCCTATTTCTTTCAACTCTTCATGACCCATATCAGCTAATACATCTAGCGTAATCTGAAAAGTAAAACAAAATTAATTGTTAAACCTTTAACAGTTCCTCAGACGAGGAAAACGCTTCAATTTGTCTTCAATGCTATCTATGTATCCATTCAAATTAATAAAATTCTTTTCTTTCCATTATAAGGATAAACTTAACATCTTAAAGTTGTCTTGATCATTTTATCAGCTTTTTGCTCACTTTAAAACACTCCTTGTTTTGTTTTATGTCAATGGAGAATTAAAATGGGAGAAACAATGCTACAGAAACATAAAATGATCATTGTTATATTTCCTTTTGATTATTTAATTCTACTACTTTTGCTTGTCTCAAGATGCAGGAGGGAACAATCAGTAGGCTTGAAAGTGGGGAAACACCAGACCCCAGTATCCAGCAGGTAGCAAACATGAGCGGTGGGGAAAGGGAGAGGTATCTGGCACAATGAAACAATGTGGCAAAAGGAGTAACATATTTAGGTAATGAGAATATATATAAAAATAAGGAGGAACTTCCCAGAGCTAAGAAATATTCCAACATGGAAAAAGCTGCCTTAGAAAGTAGTGAAATTTATATCATAAGTATTTAGTTCAATTACAGACCATTTTATATATAGAAGCTACTATGTAAAGAATTCCAATTTGGAGAAGAGAGTTGATGGAATATTAAGTTCTCCTATAAATTCTCAGATTTAACAATCCCTGAAGTCTAATACACATTCTACTTTTGTACAAAACAGTTGTTTTTAATATTTGGTTATTCATCCTTGTACGTAAATGGAGACAATTTAAAATTGTCTCAATTCTTTTTGTTGACTAAAAGTAACTGTGACTCTACCGCCACCAAGTGGCAGTGTTGTGAATGTACAGGGTGAAACAGAGGCTGACCACATTTTCTTCAGGGCTGAACATGCAATTTCCAGCTCAGAAAAAGGCGGTCCTGTGACAATTTAAATACTATTTCACAAGACGAGACTGATTTTCTCTTTCTTTGGAAAATTGAGAAATCTTTTTACAGATACCCCTTTTCCTACTCAAACGAGATATATATATTTTTAAATCTATCCATAGCTTTTCTACCTTTACACTTAACAACATTTTAAAAACTGACAAATTAGGCCTGGAGCTCTGCTGATTTTTATTGTCAGGATGAAACATTATATAGTGAGTCTGATCTTCTCAGTACAACAAGCATTCATCACTCAGTGTTTGGAAATAATTTACTATATTGCTCCTAAATAGCCATTTAAGAAATAATCGCTCCATTGCACAAAATGGGCAATTCACTTCCAATCACCCAAAGTTTTCAGCAGAGTTTTTAAACAGCAACAATTCTGAAATATACAGCTCTGAGACAAAATAGTTCACAATATAATATGAGCCTTTAAATTTTAGTTAGATAGGATTTTAATATAATTTGGAACCATTCACAAGGGTAACATTATTGACATCCCCCTTTTTTTCCTTTTAAATATTCTAAACTTCAGTTCAAACAAAGGTTGATATAAAAACAGGATTTCATATCTACGTGGCAGCTTTAATCCAAATAATCCTTAAGCTTCTTTGAATTAACCCATACAGAAACCAGGTCAACAAAACATAGTATTTGTTTATTACATAGCTCCAATAATAAAATAAATACCTCATTTATTTCTCACAATAACCCATGAAGTACTATCCTTAAAGGACATGTAGGCTCAGAGAAGTCATAAAAATCATACAAAGAAGAGCTGAGATGCATTGCCATTTCTGTCTTTCACTTGCTTGTATTTCTTAAAAGAGATGATTAGAAAACTAACATAACTAAATGTTAAAATTAGTTTCTTTGACTTACATGGTACCCAATTTGTCCCAAATTTATCAGACAGCAGCCACTGGAAAATCGTAAAGAACAAGCTAAGGAATTCAGATTCATGTTTATTTGTTTATTCATTCATACATGTTCAATGAATACCTTTTATGCTAGATAGTTCCCCCAAAAGCAGCTAATTAAACATCTCATTTCATTCCAAAACAACCCACTATAGTCCAGAAGTTAAACAGGCTAACATGGTAGGACAGAGAGGTGCCAGGACGCAGAGTACTACCACCAAAGTTCATGCGATTTCTTTTACCAAGGAGATCAAAAGTCAACGACAAACACACGCTAAAGGTTGCTAAATGTTTTGGAGGATCTCCTGTAGGAACTCTTAGGAAGGTTACCTACTTGGTCTAGGCTGTAAGTAGGGCTGAGGAAGAACGAAGGAACAGGAAAGGGGTCAGAAAAAGTTCTTAGAAGAAGGCAATAATTCAGCTAAGGAGTTAATCAGGCAGAGAAAGGAGGGAGGGTGTTTAAGACAAAGAGAATAGCAAATGCAAAAGGAAAAACAAGTAAGAGAATACAGAACATTTGAGAGACTCTAAGCATCGAAGTTCAAAATGGTGAGAGTACAATATTTATAAAGGAATAAAAGAAGGGATGGACAGAGGAGCACATCAAGGGCAGATCTTAATGGGCTTTACATATCAAGTTAAGATACCAAGTAAAAGGTCCAAGGGAAGCCTTTTTGGCAGAGTAGCAATCAAAGTTGTGTTTTAGGAGATAAAACGCAATGCCACCCCCGGCATTATGAAGGGCAGACTTGGAAGGCAAATGACTGGGGACAAGATAGAGTAGAGAGGAAGGAATGAATCAGAGAGGGCAATTTCAAAGCGAGAGATGTTAAAAATTAATTTGATTGTGTGACGATTTGGTCAGAAGGCAGTCAAACACAGTTTAATACAAAGAAAGGTAATATCATTTGTCTGGAGGAAAGGAACTGTGCTAGTCAAGTAAGTGGAATAGTCAACATACTGATTTTAAAAAGGACAGAAAATATTCTGGCAAAAAGAAAATCGATGGAACCACTTACTCAGAACAAAACTGCAGTGACAAAGATAACAATGAAACGAATGAAACCAAGATAAGCTGTCAAAAAGACTGAATGTAAGACTAAATTATTAAAATCAACAAAAATAAGGTGGAAAAAATAAAACACATTATAATGCAGCCTGACTAAAAGAGCAGGAACTGAAGTCCTTAGAAAAACTTTCAACAGTCAATCAGAATTGTTTTTTGAATTAGGGTCTTTGTTTTATTAAGCACAGATGTGTGAATTTCAGTCATTGTGGCCACAATCTGGGAAGAAGGGATGTGGCAGGAGCATGGCTACAGCAGAAGACAATGCTTTTAAAACAGATTTAATATCTTCGGGGGGAAATAAGGGGAAAAGGTTCTTACGATTTAGGATATTCTCATGGAAAATATCCAAACGAGAGGGTCAGTCAATGGTACGTGAGACTTAAAGGCAAAGGAAATCATTACAGCAGACTACACAGTCCACCACCGTCAGAAGACACATCTGAGGCTTCATCAAAGCATATTTTAAAGACTGGCACAGAAGCACAGTATGACTGAGAATTTTAACTATCTGGACATTTGAAGGTATATTTCACAGGTAAGGGAAGTGATAGGTTAAATGCTTTATTCAATGTTATACAGGCCTTAAAAGGGAGAAAATAATCAGAATCAAGGTCTTCTTTTAGTTCACTGCTATTTCTACTCAACTGTTTTGATCATTAAGAGCATTAAAGATGAACTACAATAAATGATATAAAGAAATGTAGTTTAAAAAAAGACAAGATGTTAGAAAATCTTAAGAGTGTAACTGATGAGAAAGACCTGAGGTTTTTAATTAATTCTAAATTGACTACAGACCTACAAACAACCTAGAATGGGCAAAGAGGCCAGTGAAAAATTTGGAAACTATGTCCATATAAAGAATAATTGAAAAAAAACAACACATTTATCCTAAAACAGGAGACACTTCGTCGGGGTGGTCAGCTGGAAGGTGAGTCCGGGCTAAGTGACTAGGTCCTAGAAATATATGAAGAGCTGTATTAGGCGGTAGTGAGCTGAATGGCAGTCCTCAGAAAGCTTATGTCCATGTTCTAATCCCTATAAAGAACCTTATTTGGAAAACTTTTATCACAGATGTAGTTAAGTTACGCATCTTGAGGTGAGGAGCTCATTTATGACTAAATGGGCAGGCAGATGTCCTTATAAAAGACACATAAAAGAGAAGACAGAGAAGGCACTGTGAAGATGGAAGCAGACACTGGAGTCATGTGACCATAGCCAAATGGGCCCCCAACTGCTAGAGGCTAGAAGCACGGAATAGATTCTCCCCTAGAGCCGCTGGAGGGCGTATAGCCCAGCGGACACCTTGCCTTTGAACTTCGGGCATCCAGAACTGTGATGGAATACATTTCTGTTGTTTAAGCCCCCAAGTTTGTGGTAATTTGTTATGTTGCCCTATAAAACTAATACATATGTAGACTAGAGATTAGATTTCTGTGCAAATCAGAGCAAACATAAACTTAAAATCAATGAATTTATATGTGGGGCAGATTTTGGCATAGTTTAAATTAGAAGCATATCTGTCCAAATTGTAAAAGTTATCTTCAACATTACAGATGTTAAAAGGGTAATTCCTACATCTGGAGGAATGCCTTAATCTCCAAAGACCATTCCTAGTCTAAGATTCTATGTATATAAATAATAGTCGATTTAAACTCAGGAATTTATTATTATTCATTTTTTGAGATATAATTAACAATAACATTATATTGGTTTTGGGTGTGCAACAATGTATTTGTATATGATTCAAAATTTGTATGTCGTGAAATTATTATTCAATATTTAACACTGACCAGGGTAATAAAATCATGTAGTAATAAGTTAAAAATGTATCCCGTATAAGAACAGAATGACAAACAGATCTTAATTCTAAACACTCTAATGATAACTTCATACTAAGACCTTCATACTTAGATACTTAAAATGTATCCAAAATTAGAACAGGTCTGTTTGAGTGTATACAGTAACCAAGTTTTGGTTTGACATTAATTTAGACACTAACTGGACAACAGAAACTTTATAAAGGGTCAGTCTTCAAAAGGTACACTGTCCATATATTATTTTGCTTTCCAATTTAATAGACAATTGCTTCAGGCATATTTTGCTAAATATGCAATATAAAAATTTGTCATTGGTTTTAAGTGGGGTAGAGTTACATCAATAATGAGATGAATAAGTGCCAACAATTTTTGGAAAGAAAACAATGAAGATTTTTCAAAACATTCTTTTGAGGCAGTTTCATGGATGAAGTTTTGACATGTAGAGCCAGATTGCTTATATAGATATAACAAACAACAATGAAAGACTCCCATCACCTGTTAAGACAATTTTGGGGAGAGACAGAAAATACTGGATTCCTCTGGCTTCTTTAGAAATTCGTTGTGGGTTTTAAAATAGTGGTTAAGAAGCAAAAAAGAAATGAGTAGAAAATGACTCTTACTATTTAATTTAAAAGACTCAGGAGAACTTACCTGTTCTGTTTCAAAGATGTCCCGAAGATGTTCAAGACCAAGGCTTTTTAGAAATTGGCTGATATTCATGTCAAGACCCGCAACTAAAACAGACATAAAGTTTCTCAGAAGACAGTTTCAGTCTAGAGGAAGTCCTAGTGTCTTTAAAGCAATGGCTCTCTGACACCCATGGCTGTGTAGATGACTTTACACAGCATAAAATAATCCCAAATTTCATTCAGATATCAAGTTGTCTGTGAATTTGGTTGAGAGGTAAAACTGTTTATCTTTATCAAAGCAGTAGTATTTATATTAATTTTAATATTACAGAGTATAACATAATATTTTTAGTGAAATATTGAACCGTAGATATATAATTCCAAATTTACCAGCTATCATGTTAGGTTTCATTCATTAATAATTCTGTTTTTCCTGATATATTTCAGTAATAAGACTCATTCAGTAGTTCAGTTAAGATACTATGGCTGGAAATGGATGTACTGAGATATATATAAGAACAATGTAGATGCCAATAAATTTATTCTATGAAGACATATTTCTTATAAGCTGTTGTGTATATGAAAACTTATAGTTAAGACAAATGCAAGTGAGGTGTTCAGTGATTACTAATAGAAAAAAGGGTATCTGTTAATTAAAAAAACAAAGGCAAGAACCAAACGAGCACTCATAGGGTATACTCACCTTCTCCTTCCTTCCGTTCTGTGCCCGCTGCGCCATCCCCCGTGTTGGATGCTCCCCCTACTGCCAAGTCCGCTAAGGGGACGGTGAGGTTATCTATGCTGCTGGCAGCGGACAGGCAGGAGGGGGTGGATGCCGGTGAGATCAGAGAGGCACTCACTACGGTAGCCTGAGGTTTAAAACAGGTAGGTAAGGCCTCCGGGGGCATGGCATCTATCAGCAAAGCTCTGATATCGTCGGCCTAAAAATAATACAAAAAACACAATAATTCTGCATTTTAAAGTGACGTTTTTCACTAAAGACTAAGTACTTTGTGATTTTCTATAATAAGTGCCTCATTATTCCCTATTTGTTTTTAAGCATTTCTTCCTCTTTCCTTCTCTCATCCACAGCTCCGAAGAGTCTAGTAGTTTCAGTAGGTAGAACTGGAGAAACTATTAATTTAAAAAATGTTTCATTTTTATGTTTCGAATGTACAGCTTGGTATCTCTAGTTAAGAACTCTGTATCATACACTTGAAATTTGCTGAGAGCAGATCATAAGTGTTCTGGCCAGACACACAAAAAAGTAGTTAACTATGAGAAAAATCTAAGAATGTGTACTACGTTGATTCCCGAAAACACTTTTTTAGCACTGAGTGAAAAGTGTACACATAATTGTTCAGATTACACGTGTATTTAAAAGATATGTAAGCACATTTTAGAGTGTTAATTTTCAATCTCTAGAAGTAGTTTCCATATTTATTTACTGTATTTTGTTTATGCTTAAACAACTACAATAGTTTTTGTTCAGCTATTTCGTGCACACTGAATTTAATGTACAGTTCAAATCTGGTGAACTTTTAAAGGAACAGTACTTTAATTTGGGTAGTTATTCATGAACGCTAGTTTGTTAGCCATAACTGCTGTCAGAGGATGTGGGAGACAGCCTCCACAGACAGCCGGCCATCCTTTCCTCCGTACACATACATGCCATTTCCCTTCTCCGGAACCTGGGTTGCCCATGAGTTGCTGTGACCAGTGGAATGCAGAGGAACTGACGCTCTGAGACTTTTGAGCCAGGCTGTAAAAGGACTGGCAGCTTCTACCTGCCCTCTCTGCGAAGCCAGTGAGCATGCTGTAAAGACGTCTGGGCAGACCTGAGTGACGGCAGCCGCAGAGGAAGGAAGCGCATCTTGGACAAGGCATCTTTGGCCAACGTGCCAGGTAAGGTGGTGCACAGACAGAACTATCCACCTGAACCCAGTCAACCACAGAACTGTGGTCAAGTTACTAAGTGTTTTGAAATCATTTGTTACTTAGCAACAGATACATGAAACAGAATGGGGTGTGGAAACGTATTTCTGGCTTTAAAAATTATAAGTTATTGTGACCACTAGTAACTCCCTAATTTTCAGAAAGTTTGGGGAAGACTTTACAATTAAATGTGCTTAACTTTACAATTAAATAACATTTAACCACAAAAAATTCTTCGTTTAAAAATATTTCTACAGTATATCAATTTATTTTCCCATCTTCAGAAGAATATACTACCCAGAAGTTAATTTTTCTGATTATCTCAAAGTCTCAGATACATAAGAACAACAGTTGCTCTAGAACATGCCAAATGTAGAAGGGGCAAGATATTTTACTAAGTGCAATTCTTTGAGGACACACTCTAGATATGTGTTTTTCTGATTCATCTTTTCCCTCCAAGTTAAGTATGGCAAAAATAATTAAGTTAACTTAATTTGTCTTATTTAGTTTGTCTTAACAGAGTTTTAAAGTATATAAATAAATTGAATTTAAAAAATTTCATAAGTAAGGAAGTTTGTTCTTAAGCTAAGTGAAATATGCACTACTAAAGGTCAACCTGCTAAGCTCTGAAACGTAATGTCACTTCTTCCTTTAAAAAAAAATCTTTTTTTAATAATTCTCACCTGAGAATATATTTTTATTTATCTTCAGATAGAATGGGAGGGAGGAAGAGAGAGGGGAAGAGAGAGAGAGAGAAAGAGAGAAGCACCGATGTGAGAGGGACACATTGATTGCTTGCCTCCCACATGACCTGACCAGGGTGGGGGACCAATCAAAACTAAGGTATGTGCCCTTGACCAGAATTGAACCCATGACTCTTTGGTCTGTGGGTTGACACTTTAACCACTGAGCCAAACTGGCCTGGGCTGCTGCTACTTCTTTTTAAAAAAAATATGTTTTTATTGTTGTTGTTTTTTGAGAGAAAGGAAGGGAGAGAGAGATAGAAACATCGATTGGCTGCCTCCTGCACGCGCCCCCCCACTGGGGACTAAGCCCACAACCCGGGCATGTGTCCTGACCATGGGGCGACTCTCAATCCACTGAGCTACAATGGCTGGGCTAATGTCACTTCTGAAAGTGTAATAAGCAAATGTGAGTATTCTGGAAGGAGTACTTACTGTTGCCAGATCTAACGGTGTCTGACCTTCTTGGTTCTTCATAGTTGGATCTGCTCCATGCGCTAGGAGGAGGGCACATAACTGGGTCCTTCCTTTTTGGGCTGCTTCATGAAGAGGAGTAAATGCCCACTTATCTGTTGCATTTACACATGTGTTGTATTTTATCAATAATGCTGCTATGTCCACATGCTGAAGAAAAAGATAAGGACGTGAAGAGTTACGAAAGATTACCTGGTAAAGTTCCATCACACACACTTGCTTTATTTCACATTTTATTCCCTCTCTATGTCTGTTCTCATCTTTAATAGAAGTTTCTTCTATACAAAAAAGTATTTACCCCACCCCATCCCTGTATTGTGTACTCCATCTTTCCTTGTCTCCTCCAGAATATCAGTTTCACAATTATTCTTTGACCCCAAAATTCTAATTTTTCATGGGAACATTTAATCTTTTTTATTTAGCCTTCTATCATATTCAGGCCTATCTTGAAAACAAACATTTTTCTTCTACCACACTGCAATCTGATCCGTTTAGTGAAATACTTACCTCAAAGTTTCTGTGTTATTTTCTTTAGCCTTTGGGAAAGTAATATAACACAACGAAACCATGTTTTACAAAAATTAGTCTATAACCATGGTGGTTAGAGAGGAAGGAAAAGAAGAGCTAAATTTGAAAGATTTTGAAGGGGAAAACAAATTGGGTTTTAGAACGACAAATTAACTATAGAGAAAGAAAAAGAAGAAAAGTCAAAGATGACTACTTTTGCAGGGAAAGATTAAGTAGGAATGAAACTATAAGAAAGATAAGGTTCACTTGGGGTAAATAGTTTTTGATGTAAAATAGCAAAGCTATGATGTTCTGTAAATAGTCAGACACAAAGGCTGGAGCACAGAAAAGAGGGCATCAATTATTTATTCACTTACTCTCTTACCCACTCACCCACCAACAAAACATTCATTGAACACTTACTAAGTGCTTGGCATTGGAGGTAGGGTCTAGAGGGGAATGACAAAATGGAATGTTGAGTTGAAAGTTGTAGCTACTTGATAAATGAGCTCATTAAGAAAAGGAATATGGAAAGATAATCACAAGGGGATAGAGCCTTGAGAACGTTTTGGGAAAGGAGAATGGAAGACAAAGGGGCAATAAGAACAGAAGAACCCGGCTGGTGAGGCTCAGTGGTTGAGTGTCGACCCATGCACCAAAAGGTTGCCAGTTTGATTCCCAGTCAGGGCACATGCCCAGGTTATGGGCCTGATCCCTAGTGGGGGGGCATGCAGGAGGTGGCCAATCGATGTTCTCTCTCATCGATGTTTCTCTCTCTCTCTAAAATCAATAAAGAGGAAAAAAAAAAAAAAAAAAGAACTGTAGAAGAACTAAAAAAAGGCAGTACTATGAAAACAATGTAGGAGAAAGTTTCAGGAGAGTAGGTTCTCTCAAATAATAGCAAAAGGTTTTAGCTTCTTTCCAAAAGTCCTTATATAATAAGGTTAAGACAATGGATTATGCAAAAGTAGTACTAATTCAATAATTAGGCTTTTGAGAATAATAAAAATAAACTTTATTCTTATACATACATTTAGGGATGCTAGTTTGGTTACCATTAAAGTATTTCTGAAACTCATTTGAATGACGATATTCTATAATTTTTGTGTAATTGGCACACTGGTGTTCTTTGTGGATACATTTCCTGGAATAACTTAATTATTTCTGGTAATTAATTCAGAAGCACATTATCTGAGGCTGACTTCCATGAGGATGGGAAGAGATGGTGAAGGGAAAGACAAGTATCGCCCTGGCCGGTTTAGCTCAGCGGTTAGAGCGTTGGCTTGCGGTCCAGAGAGACCCGGGTTCGCTTCCCACTAAGGGCATGTACCTAGATTGCAGTTTGTCCCCGGCCCTGGTTGGGTCTCGCAGGTGGCAGCCACTCGATGTGTCCCTTTCACGTCGATGTTTCTCTCTCTCTCTCTCCTCCTCTCTCTCCCTCCCGCCCTGTCTGAACAAAAAATAAAAAAATGTCCTCGGGTGAGGATAAAAAAAAGAAAGACAAGTATCCCATGGTGGGATTGAGGGCATGTTTGTCTTAAGATAGTCTTGCTCTCTTGAAGATGCTCATTTCAAAAAGAAGCACCTTTTTTTCTGATATAATACTAAAAACTTTTTTATATTATACAAATACTTTTGATTTTAAGAAAGGTGATTTGAAAAAACAAAGGGAAGAAAACTTATTAGAAAACTTCTCATAAAGCTTTCACATTTACTTTGACAATGTAGATTTTTAAAAAGCATAGGTCTTCTGAGAACAGGGTATGTTTTGTAATCTTCTCAGGATTCTGAATGATACCATCATTATAAAATTGATCTTAACGCAAAGATAAAGATAGGCACCGTCTATAGTACTATATCAAAATCACTTAAAACCAAACAAAACCCAGTAATTTATTGACCTTATTCAAGGGCTATATGTTGAAAAGAACAGCTATTTTTTGTTCAGTTGACCCAAAAGCATGGGACATTTTCAAGCTTCTCCACAGTAAGGTTATAGGCTATTTAAACTGTGTTTCTGATGATTAATTTTATTTTACTCCCATGGGTATTGGCAGAATAGTATAATTTGATAGACTGATTTGCATAGGCTTCCAAAATTAGACAGTTCAAGGAAAACTGAGTATAAAATGAATTACATATATTATTAAACTTTCTTTATATTTAATTTATAGTTTATGCTTAGAGAAACAAGTTACCTTTTTTTTTTTGGTTAATCCTCACCCGAGGGTATTTTTCTATTGATTTTTAGATAGAGTGTAAGGGAGTGAAAGGGGGGTGGGTGGGAGAGAGAGAGAGAGAAACATTGATGTGAGAGAGGACCAGTGATTGGCTGCCTCCTGCATGACCCTGATCAGGGCTAGAGATTGAAAGTGCAACCCAGGAAATGTGCCCCTGACTGAGAATTGAACCCGAGATTCCTTGGTCTGCAGGCCAATGCTTTCACCACTGAACCAAACCGGCCAGGGCCAGTTACATGCTTTTTAAATTTGCTGACAAACACCTGAAAGAGCGATGAACAAAAAGGAGTCTACCCAAGTACACTAAAAACACAAGTCTTAAACCTTTTAAATATCTACATCGCTAGGACCAAAATAGAAACTGAAATTTAACGCTGATAAATGTAATTACCAAGCTACAGCTCAGTTCTATATAATTGATAAGAACCAAGTATTGAACTGGAAGGTCTAGAAAAGGAAATGAACTCTTGGAATGTTTCCAGGAGAAAGACAATTAGTATGGTTTCAGAATCCAGCTACAGCACAAAATGCTTTAAATGACAAATACAATGTAAACAGACTGTGAGGGCCCTAATTTAATTTGAGAAAGGTGGGAAACAGGGAGAAGAGAAACATGCCTGGTTTTTGTAGGGGGCATGAGCCGATGAGGATATTCTCATTCTGAAGGGCAAGGAAGAGAGGAAGAGAATATGGAAATCACGGTGACTAGTTTTTATTTATAGCTTGTCAGGCTCTGAAAAATCTGGAAACTGTCCTCATCAGCAGCGATTCCAACTGTGAGAACCCCTGGTAGGTACCATGTGAAATCTGTGGATGTTTATAGTCAAGCAGGGACCAGTGGATGAGCAGACAAGCACATGAGCACTCCCGCTACTCCTGTGTGATTCACAGGGCCTGAAGTGGGCCCTGGAGACTCTGGCAGTCAGTTTCAGCATATGGCGTTGAGGCAGTCAATATACTCCTCTTCCTCTTTCCACTGATGATCAGTTACAGTGCTCTGACAGCATGACTAGACTTTCCCTGTGGGGTTTAGCTAGTCAATTCAAGCTCTATGAAACCATATATACCCACAGCTCAACCATTTACTTGATTATTTAAAAAATGTTGATGATAAACATAAGCAACCACAATTTCCATGCCTAAATAGAAGCCTCCTGGCTTTTACAGTTTCTAAAATCTACTTGGAAGTCAAGAATTATCTGCATCAATAAATATTAACCGATCAGTCAGTATACACCTATTCTTGTGCTAGAAAATGCTGAAGAGACCAAAAGTCTATAAAAAGCATGGTCCTTGGCCAAAAAGATAGTTCAGTTTAACCGAGAAGGCTAGAAACACACAGAAGAGAAGATTATAATTGTGCTGTTGGTTAGATTATCTACTTACTTTATGCATACTATATATTTAATAAAACAGTAAATGTCAGTAAAGGTCATTAGACTTGAACTTCAGCATGCTCACCCCATAGGACGCTGCATTATGAAGAGGAATTAAGCCACCTTTGTCTTGGGCATTGACATCTGCTCCATGTTCTAGAAGATACTCGGCTACTTCCAGGTTATTGTAGCCAGCTATTAGAGTGAAAAAAGGCAAACATGTTAGCTTAAAAGAAAATAAATATTTGTATATAAATAATAAGGACCTGAAAAATTAAAGTTTAATACTTTTTGCTTTAAAACCTAATACTATTGCCCTGGCCGATTTGGCTCAGCGGTTGGAGCGTCGGCCTGAGGTCCAGAGAGACCTGAGTTTGGTTCCCGCTGAGGGCACGTACCCCATTTGCAGTTTGTCCCCGGCCCTGGCTGGGTCGTGATGGTGGCAACCACTTGATGTGTCCCTTTCACATCGATGTTTCTCCCCCCCCCAAAAAAAACCCCACAAAAAAACAACCCAAAACCTAATACTATTATCACATAATTAAGAGCCTTTACAATAAGAAGTTATATAAAATTATGTCAATCTAAAGCATTTTACTAAGTAGACTCGGCATTTCTTTCTTCTTCTGGTAATCTGCAGTAGGTACTTAAGTTAAGAAAGGACGATGAGACGTGGACGTGCTGTGATGCTTACCTGCCAGGTGCAGAGGGGTTGAGTTCCTGCCCTGGGTGTCCCTGCAGTTGATATTCTCTGGGGTACAGAGCTTCTGCACTCTTGCCAGGCAGCCCTTCTTGGCAGCATCCAACAAGGCGGCATCTCCTCTCAGTAAGTCCTGGATATCTGTGTCTCCTTCTTTAACCAAATCTAAAGGTGTATTTCCATCTCTGTTCTTTTTAGTTGGATCTGCTCCATGCTACAAAAAACAAAAACAAAACCCAAATGGGGTTTATATTTTCTATACTATCTTTCTTCAGGTTTGTTTATTTATTTCTAACTTCACCTTCATTCAGTGGCAGTATCCTGTTCTATTTTGCAAATTCTATACTTATCAGTATAATGGATCAGCTTTCTAACTACTACTCAACCAAAGCTCTACATTTAAGAATCAGTGGTGATGGTGAAATGGAAAAAGTGTTAAGTATTTTTTACTTTTTATCTGCTAAACTTTCTCAGACTCCAAACTGACTCTGGAAACATCTTTTCCTTTTAAGAATGGTCTGGATGTTAATTTTGAGCAGATTTCAATTACATAAAGATATTCTGTGAATATTATGAAAAAGGAGGGAGAAGGAGTGAGAAGAGGAAGACACACAGGTAGAAAAGGCAACTGATTCTAAATGCAGAAGAAAGTTTGGTTATTTTAAATAGTTTTGGTTTCCATGTCATTTATTTCTGCTCTGATCTTTACCACTTCCTTCCTTCTACTTGCTCTGGGGTTTTCTTTGCTTTCTAGTTCTTTAAGTTGTGACGTTAGATAGTCTATCAGAACTTTTTCTTGCTTCTTGAAGTAGGCCTGTAGTGCTATGAACTTCCTTCTCAGAACTGCTTTCGCTGCATCCCATAGATTCTGTGTTGTTGTGTGTTCATTTTCATTGGTTTCCAGGAAGTTTTTAATTTCTTCCTTGATCTCCATGGTAACCCATTCATTGTTCAAAAACATGCAATTTAGCCTCCATGTTTTCAAATGTCTTTGCATGTTCTTGTTGCAGTTGATTTCTAGTTTCATGCCATTGTGATCTGAGAAGATGCTTGATATGATTTCAATCTTCTTGAACTTGTAGAGACTTAGTTTGTGCCCTAACATGTGGTCTATCTTTGAGAATGTCCCATGTGCACTTCAGAAGAATGTGAATTCTGTAGTTTTGGGGTATAATTCTCTATAGATATCTATGAAATCCATCTGATCTAGCGCTTCATTTAAAGTGTGTTTTCTTGTTAATTTTTGTCTAGATGATCTATCCAGTGATGTCAGTGGGGTGTTGAAGTCCCCTGCTATGATTGTATTGCTGTTGATTTCTCCTTTGAAGTCCTCCAGAAGATTTTTAATATATGCTGGTGCTCCTATATTGGGTGCATATATGTTTACCAAGATTATATCTTCCTGTTGAATAGATCCTTTCAATACTATGTAGTGGTCTTCTTTGTCTCTAGTTATGGTCTTCATTTTGAAATCTACTTTATCAGATATGAGTATTGCTACCCCAGCTTTTCTTCCCTTTCTGTTTGCTTGGAAGATTTTTTTCCATCCCTTCACTTTCAACCTATGTGAGTCTTTTGTTGTGAGGTGGGTCTCCTGTAAACAACATATATGTGAGTCATGCTTTCTTATCCAGTCAGCTACTCTGTGTCTTTTTATTGGAGTATTCAAACGATTTACATTTAAGGTGATAATTGATATGTACTTATTTATTGCCATTTTTGTTTAGTGTGGTTATAGTTTTCTTCCTAATTCTTCTACTAATTACAGCAGTCCTTTTAGCATATCTTGCAGTGCTGGTTTGGTGTTAATATATTCCCATAGCCTTTTTTTGTATGGGAAGCTCTTTATTTAACCTTCTATTTTGAATGATAGCCTTGCTGGATAGAGTAGTCTTGGATTCAGATCCTTGTTTTTCATGACCTTGATTACTTCATGTCACTCCCTTCTGGCCTGTAGTGTTTCTGTTGAGAAGTCAGCTGAGCGCCTTATGAGGTTTCCTTTGTAGGTAACCTGTTGCTTATCTCTTGCTGCCTTTAGGATTCTCTTTGTCTTTAATTTTTGGCATTTTAATTACTATGTGTCTTGGTGTGGGCTTGCTTGGGTTCTTCTTATTTGGGGCTCTCTGTGCTTCTTGAACTTGAATGCTTTCTTCCTTCACCAAGTTAGGAAATTTTTCTGTCACTATTTCTTCAAATATATTCTCTAACCCTTGCTCATTTTCTTCTTCTTCGAGGACTCCTATGATGCGAATGATATTACTTTTCCAGTTGTCCCACAATTCTCTTAAGCTATCTTCCTGTTTTTAAATTGTTTTTTCCTTTTGGTTTTCTGATTGGTTGATTTTTTTTCTACCCTGTCTTCTAATTCACTGATCCGGACCTCGCACCTGTCAGAATGGCCTCCATCAACAAATCATCAAACAACAAGTGTTGGCGAGGGTGTGGAGAAAAGGGGACTCTAGTGCACTGCTGGTAGGAATGCAGACTGGTGCAGCCACTATGGAAAACAATATGGTGTTACCTCAAAAAATTAACAATTGAACTTCCATTTGACCCAGTGATCCCACTTCTAGGAATATACCCTAAGAGGCCTGAAACACCAATCAGAAAGAATATATGTACCCCATGTTCATAGCAGCACTATTTACAATAGCTAAAATCTGGAAACAGCCCAAATGTCCATCAGTAGACGAATGGATAAAAAAGCTGTGGTACATATACACAATGCAGTACTATGCAGCTGTAAGAAAGAAAGATCTCTTATCCTTTGAGTCGACATGGAGGGACCTGGAGAGTATCATCCTAAGCGAAACAAGCCAAACAGAGAACGACAAGTATCATATGATCTCACTTATTTGTGGAATATAATGAACATAACAGTCTGAGGAATGGGATAGACCCAGAGATTTGGACGTGGGGTATAGACTGACAATCCCTAGAAGAGGGGGTGGGGGGAGAGATAAACCACAGAACTTATATGCATGAACAATGGACATGGACAACAAAGCTAGGGACAGGGTGAGGAGGGAAAATGAGTAGGGGAAAAAGGAGAAACATCTGTAACAAAAATAAATAAAATAATTAAAAAATAAATAAATATTTTTAATGTAAGTCTTAATGCCTATCATAAAAATAGGCATAAGTATATTAACAAAAATTTTATTTTAAGAATCTAATGATATATACTATGAAATAAAGTAAGCAGTCAAGACTCTTTATTATGACAGTGTGCTACTGGCCCACTGGAGAAGTCTGGAAGATATCAAGCTAGACAATTAATTCACAGTGACTTGGAAGTTATATCTCACTAACCAGTGGTAATAGAAATGCACGTCAAATTCAGTGTTATTCTCAAGACTCATAGGAACATATCTGATGCCATAAGAGTGGTGGAAGAAAAATGTTATTTATATTTAACCAGGACAAGTTTTTCTCCAGTTAAAAAAACAAACAAACAAACAAAAAACAGAGAGAAAACTACACATATATATGTCTGGTCACTTTAGAAAGAACATAAAATTATTTAGTTTCATATAACTATTAGTTTCTGCTATTTCATGTATATCCCCAAAACAAGTAACTTTGTTTAGAGATTATCTTACATTTTAATTAAAATCTGATATTAAAGTTTCTATAGGATTATATTTAAATAATGATTAATAATGAGGAATGAGTTTATTAACAATGATAAAATAGCCAGTAAAAAGAAAAAATCAAACTTGTTTCTCCTTGTACAAATGTTTTATGATATTAATACTATAACTATTAGATAAGCAATGCAAACTAATTCAGCTCTTTCCAAAACCTACCTTGATGAGCTGTAATTAACAGAACTTAATCAAATCAGTTCAGAAAGGCACTTCAGACACTACTCAAAGCTATGCAAGTATCATGATGTCATGCTTAAACATCTCCCTAAAATGGAAAATAGAAGCATCTCTATGGCACTTACTGAACTTAATAGAATAATTTACTTTGATGTACTTTTACATACTAACCATAAATAAATATAATTACTTCATACTTTATACTTTTTAAAATTACATACTTTTAAAAGGAGCTTGCAGATTTCGTATTTTCCTTTAGCAGCTGCTTCATGGAGAGGGGTAAATTTCCACAAGTCTGCGACATTGACAGAAGCCCCATGCCTCACTAAAAGCTCAGCCACCTCATAGTGTCCATATGAACAAGCATTATGAAGGGGCACCAAGCCACTAAACAAAAAAAAAATTATTTTTAATACAGATAACAAATCTTTGAGCTGAATTTTCATTTTATACTATACATTTCTATAATGTTTTAATTTATGCTTTAAACATAAAAAAATGTGTTATGTTTTTAAATAGGGAAAACAATTGAAGATTTCAAAAATATTTTAAACAGTTTTTTTTAAGGCTTGAAAGAATGAGTCCCAAACGGCTGGAGTCTACCACATACCCTTTATCTTTGGCGTGGACGTCAGCACCGTGGTGTAGAAGGTACTCCACAACAGACACACGATTATAGCCTGCCGCAAAGTGTAAGGGTGTGGAATGCCGGCCCTCTAAATCTCTGCAATTCACATTTTGAGGGCTGCAAAGTTGCTTTTATGGCACATACACACAAACACAAGAAGAACATTAATATTTAGTTACAGATCTTGCTCCAAGATACTGTAGGCATCTTGGGTAACTTGTAATTTTCTAATGAATATTTATTTCCAAAGATTAGATAATATAAGTGACATTAAAAATCAGCACTATGCTTGGTTTAACAGTGTCTAGACATATTCCTACTGTTTACAGAGAGCAATTAAATCTTCTTCACCATTTCCTGGCAAAAATCCTAATAAAAAAGAAAAACCCAGAGTAAAGCAAGCATTTGTAAGGCAACTGATGCCTTCCTTTTCCACCTTTATACAGATTTGCTCCGTCCACAGTCTGCTCGTATTAGCATGCTCTTAGCCCATTCTTCGCTCAAATAACAGCAATCCTGCTTGACTGCAGTTACCAGAGTTCTTGTCTCCTCTGACGTGGCAAGCAAAAGGGATCTGGAAAAATTACACTAATTCTGCCTGGGCTACACACCTGGCCCATTGATCCACTACAGCAGAGCCATGTAGTCCATAGTGCTTTACTCGATCTTTGGGGGAGGTCTGTCTAACTCTACAAGTCAAACTGAATCTAATCACATTCTAGTTTCTCCATCTCCTTCAGCTATACCCTCCAAATCTCTCCTTTGGTTCCTTTTCTCCTTTTGAATGTTGCCATTTCAGCACAAGCTTAATTCTGTTTGTTTGATTATAAGTAGTAGGAAGCAAAGTAAGGGTTGACAGGCTGCATCACAGATACATTACAATAATGTTGGAACAATAATTTACACTTCATAAAAATATCATATTCTTTCAGTTAACAGTATACTCTCTGTGAAGTTGCTCATTATCTCCATTTTATACATAAATAAACCAAGGCTCAGCAAAGTTCAATGAAATCCTTTTTCATAGAGTTGGTAAGGGGGAGCATAAAGACTCTGACCCTGCTTTCCTGATTATTAATCTCTTGATCTTTTTGCTGCATGGTTGGTTAAAAACTAAGAACCTGTTTTACTGATATACCAAGTAGAGGCTTTCACACTGGTAGGGTAAAAGCAGGACTTTTCAGATGGTACAATTTTTACAGGACAGAAAAAAGTCTGGGCAGTGTAAGGGAGAGCCTACGATTTCATCATCTCTACGTAGAAAAGCTCCAAACTCTGAACTCTGAAGAACCATTATCATCTGCCCAGGTCAAATAGCTTATCTTTTCATGACAAGTGAGTCTGTGGCTACATTAACACATAAATTAGAGAATCAAAAAATAAAATAAAGTAGAAACAAATAAGTTAATAAACTAAAAAGAAAGGCTGCAAACACTGCTAGTGAACACCAGTGGAGTCCGACATGGCTGAAGCTGCTTCCTGCTGCTGCGGCTTTTCCTTCTGGTTCTTATTTTCTAAATCAACTTACTTTACTTTTTTTTCAGAGAATACTGGCAAAACAGGAATGAGGGAGGAAATAAAGAAACACAATTTATTTTGCCAGGTAACAGAAATAAAAGCCCATTCTGCTTATCAAATGTTTGGGTTTTTTTTATAATTTTTTTTTTTTTATCCTCACCGAGGACATTTTTTTATTTTGATATTTTGTTCAGATAGAGTGGGAGGGAAAGAGAGAGAAAGAGAAACATCGACGTGAAAGGGACACATCGGCCCTGGCCAGTTTGGCTCAGCGGTTAGAGCGTCGACCTGCGGTCCGGAGAGACCCGGGTTCGGTTCCCGCTAAGGGCACGTACTTCGGTTGCAGTTTGTCCCCGGCCCTGGTTGGCCCTGCGGGTGGCAGCCACTCGATGTGTCCCTTTCACATCGATGTTTCTCTCTCTCTCTCTCTTCCTCTCTCTCCCTCCCGCTCTGTCTGTACAAAAATGGAAAAATATCCTCGGGTGAGGATAAAAAAATAAATAAAAAAAAAAAAATGAAAGGGACACATCGAGTAGTCGCCACCTGCACGACCCAACCAGGGCCGAGGACAAACTGCAACCGAGGTACATGCCCCTAGCGGGAACCGAACCCGGGTCTCTCAGGACCGCAGGCGGACGCTCTAACCGCTGAGCCAAACCGGCCAGGGCTCAAATGTTTGCTTTTTAATATTTGGAAGTTCTTTGTTCTCTATTTTGTTTCACTTTCTTTTTGAATGACAAAGCAATTTTACATTCTGTCTACCTGCTTTACATAATTCAAATATGTTACTCAGCAAACAGATTTTCTTCTAATATCTAATTTCTCGCCTCTAAGGAAAGAAATTTATCAGGCTTAATTCTCACTTAATTTGTGCTTTGTTTTCTTTTGCCATTTCAATTCCATTAAAAAAAATACAGTTGGCCTTTATTGTGAATAGACTGTTTAGGAAATCTGAAAGGTGCAGTATATTTGCCTGTTACATACAAAAAATATAAAATTATGTTACATTATTACATTAAAATAAACTATTAATTTAATTATAACAGGTACATGTAGCAATTTTAGTGCTGAGATTACCATGCTGCAGAAAAGGAATCTTAATCATTTTTATACTTAAGGATTTTCCTTTATCAGTGTATACTTCAAATGACAGAATTGTTTTTAAGAAAAACAATACGTAATTTTAGATCTAAGAGAACTTGAAAATTTCTCTCCAGTGGCTATAACAACTGATATTCACCGTTATTCTTTAAATAACTTAGATGTTATTGTAACATGAAAGAGAGATTAAAAGTGACCACATATTAAATAAAAATAAAATTACTAGGCCACAGAGCTTAGAAAGTGTTTACTGTCATTTTCAAATAGTATGTCATCAAGAGGGCAAAATTTAGCTCACTAAAAATCATAAAAATAGAGTTTGCTTAATAATAAGTGACAAAGTTTAATTTGTAAAAAATAATCTGGTATGACTGCCAATACCAATATTTCAATTGACCTTTCTTAAAAAAAAAAAAAAGGAAAGAAAAAGAAAAATGAATATAAACAAAACCACAAACGTATCCCTTTCTGCTATCTTCATCCTTACATGAATGATTGTAGATGGGAAGTGTGTATGTTTTTCAAAAGCATATTCGATACTAGAATATAATTTTTATTTGAAAAACATTAAATCTATAACCATTGTTTCTATTCCACAAATAAAGGTTGATAGAATTTTCTTGGCAAGCACAGTTAAATAAAAAGGGAAATCCTTCTTCTGCATATAAATAATTCCAAATGGTTGCAGGATCAATATACTTTCCCAGAGCCAATGTGAGAATCTCTTGGAAAACTTCAAAAACATTGTTTCAAATGTTATTGTACTATTATCTGGACCAGAACTGGCTCAGAAATTTATGAAAGCAGCCAAAAGTAACACTTAAGTTAATATAAGTAAAAATAAAAGATCTATCACATAACCAGAGGAAAAGTAACTAAAATGTAGCTTAATGGATATAAGGCACATACTAAGAAATTTTTTGTGGTTAAAGCTCTCTCTTGTTTGTGTATCTATTCTGCTCATCCCTTTCATTGTTTGGATTTGAGTAGTTTCATTTATAACCTTAAAGTGAATTGGTTAGCAAAGGTTCAGTAGTGCTACTCAAGACATTAAAAACATTAACTTACCTTCACAGTTTCCAAGTCTCCAGCTTTAGATGCCTCTAAGAGTCGATAGTCAACATCAGAAGTACGTATAGGTGTACTTTCTGCATAAAAAGAAGGAAAGATTAGTGTTGGTTTTCAAGGAATCACAGAGTAGTTAAGGAGGGAAAATTATATGGTGAATGCAAGGAGAGATTAAAAGGGGTCAGATTCTGACACCTAATTTAGGATTTTTCCCAATCTTTTTCAAACAAAAAATAAGTGGTTTACTTCAATCTATATCCATCTCATCCTAAGCCAAATTTAAATACATTCTAAGATACATAAATCCATCTCCAAACCTACTACTCTATCCTTCAAATTTTCAGGTTAAAACTTGGCAAAGGGGAATGAAGAAACATAGGACCATAAGATTACAATCATCTTCATTATACATTGGTCTTACAATATTTGTAGCAAAGCTTTGCCATAGATTTGGTTATGCAAACCTAGGGACGCCACTCAACTTGCAGCACTTAATGTTTAGCCTTTCTTTTGTGTCTCAGTTTCCTCAATATGAAACAGAAATCCGTGAAATCCTGAAATCCGTGATCTTAGAAAATATAATCGGTATACAAAAAAGGCCAACTAAATACAGAAATTCAATTCATATTTATTGAATGGTTTCAGGGAAATACAACTTAAAATGTCTGGGCCAGCTAGTATGGCTCAGTAGTTGAGTATTGACCTATGTGCACTTGGGTTTTGAGCCTGATCCCCAGTAGGGGCATGCAGGAGGCAGCCCAACGATGCTGATGCTTCTCTCATTGATATTTCTATCTCTTCTTCCTCTCCTTTAAAAAAATGTCTGTAAATTGAGAAGTGTGATATAAATGCTAAGTAGAATATAATCAAATGGGGCTGCTAAGTCTACAAGTATGAGGCTAACAAACGAGGTATTTTGTTTAATCCAATGTAAACAAACCAAAAATTCATTACACATTGACCCAAATGAAAAGGTTTTTTAAAAAATAAACAATCTGTAATTTATCACTCAAAATACATTCATGAAAATTATTAGGTATGGCTTTCACAATGTGTACACACATTCAGATAATACAAAAAAAGAACTAAAGTCTAGGAGACTGGATTTAGACTGGGCTCTATTAACTGTGACAATGGACAAATCACTTACTAGCTTAGTTTTTGCACCTATTAAGTGATTGACGGCTTCCCTTAAATTCCCTTTCAGATTTAACACTGCATAATTTTATGATGACAGACATCCTTCTTGAGTCTACTATACAAATGGGAAGATGAACTGATGCTACAAACAGGTTTTAGGTTTCAGAAGAAATACTTCACCTCTTTTTAGTCTAAAGTGCTTCATTCAGGAGAAAGGCTTTTATTACAGACTAAGTTATGAGAACTTTTCAATGGAAAAGAAACTATTTAGTCATAATAATAATAGCTAGCAGATAAAATATCAAAATTAAGGGGAGAAAAAAGTATTTCATATAATAAAGTACATTTTTGAAATATCAAAAATCATTTTTCTTTAAAAGTGAGTTTATTACATTGTCAGTTTGAGGAAGGGAATCAGGTTTTGCTCATCTTTATGTTCCTTTTCACATGGAGAACATTCAGAAAGCACTTGCTGAACTGACTTCCATGCTAGTTCATAGCGGGGGCAATATACATGTCAAATCTTAGCTCTTTGGCTTCCCTTATTCCATCTTTCACGTCTCATTTACTTTCATTCTAACTGTGTATGACATTACTGCATTAAAGGTGTATATATTATGTCCCTACAATAGTGATTCTGGCAGTTGGTAAAACTCACTGAAACAGCCTTGGGAAATCTATAGGCAATATTTTTAGTTTTTCATTTTAACAGAATAAAATGACAACTGTTTAAGTATACAGAGTTAGAACTTTGGATATTTTCAGATTCTAGCATTTGAAGGATACAATTAGTACGGCTGAATTTTTTAATTCTAAAAACTATTTGAAATTGGCACACCTGTCTTGATGCAGACTGATTTGCAAAGTGTATAATTTTACAAACAAAAATTGTTATGCAAATATAAGATGCTTCTGAGAACTATGAGAAAGTCTTAGTCCTAGTCAAAGAGCAGAGAGTAAGTAAGTTATTGATATTGATGAACTACCATACAAGAATTGTGTCCATTATAAATCCTGAATAGGCTTAGAAGAGATTCATTTTTGGAAACAATGTGAACAAAGTATTAGCTGAAAGTACACACACACACACACACACACACACAAACACACACATCTCCCAGAAACTTAGTACGAAGACACGCACAATTTTTTAAAAAGGATATGAAAATGAAATTAAAAAGGAAATATAGGCAAAAGAAGACTAGCTTAGTTGCAAAATATTAGTAAAATCCTTTAGAAGCACACTGGCTTTTGCAGAGGCTGAAAATAAATATTCACGTAGGGTCAAAGGCTAGAGATGGGTTTCTAATTTTTTCTCTGATTCTATTCTGTCTCACCAGAATTAAATAAACAAATAAACAAACAAAACTCTAAAGTTTCAAAGCCTGAAAGGCAGTTGGCTATTAAAAAAATAAATCTGTAGACTTTTTAGTTCGTATTAAGACCACAGCACTGGCAATAGGTTTTAGTGGATTATTTAAAGGTGCAAATGCAAATGGGGATTTCAGTTTTATTTTAGCCATGGTAAGTCCCCAAATCTTTGCCGCTGTAAAGGATCAGGTAAAAGCAATGCAATAACCACAGTGGGATATACAATCAGAAGAATTCAGGTCACGATCTGTTCAGAAGAACCGTCTGTGATCCAGACATACCCTTTACTTGGGCTAACACAGCAGCCACCAGCCACATGCGGCTATTGAGTACCTAGAATGTGGCTGGTACAACTGCAAACAATTTTACATATTTATTTAATTTTAACTAATTTAAATTCAGCCACATGTAGCTAGCTAGTGGCTACCAATTGGATAAAGTAGGTCTAGATAAAAAAGTCCAATCTTCAAACAATTTTAAAGTGCTTATTCATAGAAAACTGCTTATTTTCTTTAATCTGACATTAATTTCGACATAAATATTGCCAGTAGTTTATAATTAAAACTTACTGTCATTTGCTCTTTATATTATAGGTAGGACATTTGATATAGATTTTTGGAAGGCATCTGCATAGTCGGGACCATATTATTTGTGAATTCATTTCTGGATAGTAAAAGGGATGTTAAAAAATATTCATTATAAAAAGGGGGCCTTGGGCCTGGTGGAGTAAAAGATTGGACTAGAAGTAGAACAAGAAGCAGGACTTCTGATTCCTACTCTGTTGCCTTCCCCATTTTAATCTTCCTGTTTGTTATGTCATTCTGGAGCAGATAAAATCCACATGAAATTAAAGAAATGAGAAATAAGAGTCAATTATATGAAATTTCTTTTGTGTCAAATTCATTTTTCAGTAGATAGATTGTGTTATTTTGTCTAATTTTGGAGCGTTGGACACTAGTGTCTATTTTTATATCTTATATATAATCTTTCTCAATAAAATAGGTAGTTAAAGTATCAAATATTGAACTAGGTAGGCACTGTTAACACTCAGCCAGGTTTAACAATTATATTCAAACCAGTAAAAGACAAAATAATTTCATAAAAGTGCAATGAAATTAAGAATTACAAAACACAGGTCAGAATATAACACATGTAAGAACAATTAAAGATCATTACCATATAAATGATCTATAAAACCTATTGATAGGTTTTAGAGCTACCATAATTATTCACTGTTTATATGAGCTTTAACTAACTTTTGGTTGTAACATACATGAGTCAGGTTTTTAATTTAAAACTAAAAAAATTGAAGAGATTTTTCTCTTTCTCTTTTCTCCTTCTCATGATACCTACCTCACTTCACCTCACCAAAAAGGCTGACAGACAGGGCCACTGGCTAAACTACAAGAAAGGAAAGGCAAAAAAAAAGTATTCACACAAACAAACAAAAACCATTCCAAAGAGCTAAGGAAAACAGGAGGTACACAGTTTGTCTGTGTTTATCAGTGGACATGGAAGAGGAACAAGAATGCAATGGTTAGCTATTTTCACTTACCACTCAGAATCTGCTGCACTGCTTCATTTCCCATCTGAGCTGCTGTAAAGCCTTGTAAGGAGATGATGGAGGGATCGGAGCCATAACTCAGCAAGAGGCGGCAGGTCTGCAGGTGACCTGCTAGGGCTGCTCTATGCAAAGCAGTCTGACCAAGAGTGTCCAGTGCATTCATCTGAAAAATCATTGAGTGGGCACATGAAATCGAGCATCTGATTTTGTTCCCTTTTATACTCAAGCAAATACATTCAAATGAGAAAAAACAATTGTCAAAGTATTTTGAAAAACGCCAAAGATAATTCATTACTAACTTTGCTTACTGTTCTGAAGACATAGCATCTTCTTAAGTGACCCTTCTCTGACTACCTTACTGAAAATTACAACATACCTATTCTTTCCCTAAATGTCCATCCCCTACTCTCTGCCATTCCCCTTGACGACTAGAATGAGGGCTGGGACTTTGTCCGATATCCACTATCTATCACATTAAAGATGTACATTAAACACTTCTGAATAAATGTGCCTTATCAAACTTGTTCTCAGATTATAAAAACAACAGAATATGTACACAAAGACAGTGAAAGTAGCTCATAACATTTCTTTTCTAATTTTAGTAAATAACTATAATAAAATGTCCTAGTGGAATTACAAACACATTTAACAACAACAACAACAAAACAATTTGAAGATCCAAATGTCTCATTTTTAAAAGTTTGAAGAGTTATAAAAAATAATAGCTTAGCTAGTTTTAAGACCAGGACAACGTTAAAATTCTGGATCATGTTCATGATTTGATCAAACCTAACTGGTCCTAACCTGTTTTCCAGCATGCCCAGTAAATACCTTTACTTCAGTCAGATCCAAGTCCATGTTCACTGTACATACTGCTACTTCAGAGAAGCCCTTCTTTCTGCCTTTCTGGATTATGAGATCCAATGAAAGTCCCCCCTCTTCTAAGAAGCCCTCCTTGATTACTTGAAGCCTTGATAATTAATTCTTTTCTGAACATCTATGTCAATTGAGTGCTATCTTAAAAATTATAACATTGGGATAATTTTTTTTTTTTTTTTAATCCTCACCCGAGGAAATTTTTCCACTTTTTGTTCAGATAGAGCAGGAGGGAGAGAGAGAGAGAGAGAAACATCGATGTGAAGGGACACATCGAGTGGCTGCCACCCGCACGACCGACCAGGGCCGGGGACAAACTGCAACCGAAGTACGTGCCCTTAGCGGGAACCGAACCCGGGTCTCTCTGGACCGCAGGCCGACGCTCCAACCGCTGAGCCAAACTGGCCAGGGCAACATTGGGATAATTTTTATTTACCAAGTTAAATTAAGATTATTGGCAATGTGGATTGTATTAGGTTTTTTTTTTAATATTCTCACTTGAGGATATTTTTGCATTTATCTTCAGATAGAGCGGGAGGGAAAGAGGGAGGAAGAGAGAGAGAGAGAGAAACATCGATGTGAGAGAAACACATCGAGTGGTTGCCACCCACATGACCCCAACCGGGCCAGGGACAAACTGCAACCAAGGTACATGCTCTTAGCGGGAACGAACCCAGGACTCACTGGTCCACGGGCTGATGTTCTAACCGCTGAACCAAACTGGCCAGGGCTATATTAGGTTTCCTGGGTCTTCTAGAAAGTTCCTGTTAATGGTGCATAGTAAATTCTCAATCAACTGTTTGCTGGTTATTCAAAACAATTGTGCACACCTACCAAAGGCACGAGTAAGAAAAAAAAAAAAAGGATTTAAGACAATTGATCTCTCTGTCTCCAGTCTTCATCGTTACAAGTAAGGCTGTCACACTTGTTCAGGCAAGGGTTAATCTAAATTCTTAATGGGGTTTCACAAAATTCACCATGAAATAATGACATATTTAATTATATCACCTTTGCCATCAGAAAAATGACTGATTAAACACAGACACCATAGAAGCATAGTCATTAACATGTACTGATGGAAAACACAAGCTGCCAAACTAAATTTCTTAAAATTTTCTATGAAAATTTATTTATTATTTCTTCACCACATAAGAAAAACTTAAATTTGAGAATATTCTAATTATTAACATTTTTCTGTATATGAATAAGAAACCCACTAAATTCTTCAATTACAGTGATGAAAATCCTCAATGCAGCTTGTTAAATCATGGGAACATAGTTTGAGAATTAATTGAGAGTTATTACTCCAAACTACAGGTCTTACCAAGTTATTCTTCAGCTTAGTGACTCTTCAAATAAACTGGAATGAATCCTTCAGTATGTCATGTAAGACCACTCATAATTTACTTTTATACCACCTTGATTTCTACTGTATTTTTCCATCACCGTCTGCTAGGGCTATGCTCCAGCTGTATTAGATTACACAGAAGCTCCACTTTATGAAGGTTAGTTTCTAAAGTCATTGCAAAAGGTAAACAGATGCCTTTGGTAAAGATTACCCTTGAAAACACCGCAGCAATGCAATGGGAGAGAGAGAGATTTAACGTTTCTTGGTAACTCCAACACCAGCCAGTTTACCTCCAGTGCCTGAGCAGTTAAACTAAACAGCAGATAAAGTACAGAAAGCATCTTTAAACATTACCAACCCACTATGTGTAAGAAGAGGCTTTCTCTATAAATATGTATAGTAAAGTTGAACTCAATATAGAAAACAGCAGATTCACTTCTCCTATCTCACTCATGCTGGGGTGGGCCTCACAGAGTGAAACAAAGTGGGCAAGTGAGCAAAAATCACCACTTGCTAAGTTATTTAAATTAATATTTCTTGTTCCTCTTCTTCCTCCTCGTGTTTGGAAGGGGGTGGTCCTGAGTGCAAGTCTACTGTGTACTCTGTTCTCCTTTCCCTACCGTGCTCTTCTCTCTGCTTCACATTCCTTCCCTTCGCATATTCCTGTCAAAGCCAGAACTAGTTGTTCATCTCCTAAGAATTCTCATAAGGAAGGGATGCAACTCACACTAATATTAGGCTCTGTGTCAGACGCCTTTTGTACACTGTAAGCTATTTAAAAGCAGTGACTATGACCCTCTTCAATGTAACGTTTCCCTCTACCTTCACCCTCCCCAAGAAAAAACAATGTCTAGGACACAGCTGGAGCTTCAGAAATGTCTTCTGTATGAATAATAATAATAATAAAAAGTAAACATGTAAATGGTTACTAGAATTAATTTACAAAAGAAACCTTTAGCTAAAATAATTCCAACCATTTGATGAGGACAGATTGAAAAACATTAGAAAGCTAAAAACTTGATTATATACTGAAGCTTTATGTCCTCATCCATATACCTGTAACTCATTTCTATAGGTAGTATTATATTCTAGTATTTCAGAAAGCCCAATTTTCTTAGATAAAGTATAAGACAGACCAGAATAATACAAAATTCCTTGCTTTAGTGAATGGATGTATTTTTTATTATGAAAGAACACTAACTCTTCCCTCAAACTCTAAATGGTATGTGCAACAAAAATATCTATAAGAGTGCTTTATCAGACAAAGCTGAGGCACTACAAGAAGTCATTGAACGGTATCAGCAAGTACTGTAACAGAAGCACTCATTCCACGGGAACAAGTAGAATAACAAAACCAGCACAATTCGGTGACACTTTGTGCAACCCACTTAGAAGGAACAACAATGGATAACAGGGAAAATATTAAACATTCTATAAGGGTTTTTGTGAGGAAGAATTATGCTTCACTAGGTGAGAATGTCATAAGTTTCTCAGGTCCACCAATCTTAGGACTCCAGGCTTGTCCTTCTATGGTCAAAATATGACTGTGACATGCATCAACTCCATACATTCTCATCCAAGGTCAAAAAGCAAGGTTTTTTGTTTTTTTTGTTTGTTTGTTTTTTATATCTATTTTAAAAGAGAAGAAACCTTTCCTAGCAAACTTTTCTTTATGGCTGGGGCCAGAAATGTTTCCTGAACTCATGCCTATGCCAGTCACAAGCAAGGAGAATGCAATTACCAGAATTGTTTCAGACCCAGCCTTCCTTGAAGCTCCCACACGAGAGAGAGAGAGACAGAGAGACAGAGAGAGACAGAGAGACAGAGAGACAGAGAGACGGTTCTATAGAACAAGTTGCAAGGTATGATTCCCATCAGTGGACTGTTTTACACTGCTTGCAAACTAAGAATTGTTTTCACATTTTTTTTAATGGCTATATGAATACCTATATAAAATCATTGATTGTGTGTCTCGGACCACAAAGCCTAAATATCTGCTACTTGAACTTTTAAAAAAATGTTTGCTGACCCTTGTTCTGAAGCAAGGAAGAAAAGGAAAAATGATTACTGGATAAAAAATTAACTATCTGCATGAGTCATTATAGATCTTTTTAAAAAAATTTTATCCTTACCCGAGGACATTTTTGCATTTATCTTGAGATAGAGCGGGAGGGAGAGAGAGAGACACATTGAGTGGCTGCCACCCACACGACCACAACCGGGCCCAGGGACAAACTGCAGCCGAGGTACATGCCTTTAGCAGGAACCGACACTCTAACCGCTAAGCCAAACTGGCCAGGGCGAGTCATTACAGATCTTTAAATTGATTCAAAATGGAAGAAAATGTAAGGTTCCTAACTTCCTCTTATATTAAATTTTATCAATACTGCTAATGTTCTACCTTTGCTTATTCTTTTAAATTTTTTTTTTTATCCTCACCCGAGGACATTTTTCCATTTTTTACTCAGATAGAGCGGGAAGGAGAGAGAGGAAGAGAGAGAAACATCGATGTGAAAGGGACACATCGAGTGGCCGCCACCCACACGACCCAACCAGGGCCGGGGACAAACTGCAACCGAGGTACATGCCCTTAGCGGGAACCAAACCCGGGTCTCTGTGGACCGCAGGCTGATGCTCTAACCGCGGAGCCAAACCGGCCAGGGCCCTTTGCTTATTCTTTAATCATTCAGTCATGAGATACAATCAACCCTCTAAAAAGTGGTCAACCTCATTTTTTCTTCCAGATATTCTGAAGTGGTTCAAGGCACAGAAGTGCAAAGTGCGCATGCCTTCCAAAGTAAGGACAGCTTTGTTTTCAGAGGGCAGCAGTAACTTACAAGCTACAAATCAATCTCCCTCCCCCAATTTTTTAAAATGGGTAGTCTGGAAGGATTGGTATTGCTGCTCTAATTCCATTTCAAAGTGAAGAAGGAGCCAAT